CAACTCTCCCTAAATCTCTACATTCAGCCCAGAAATTCTCTGAACCCATCCCTTTTGGGTGTTTCTGGAGGTGTCATTACATAACCATGATTAATTAAATCATTGACCATTGATTGATTCAACATCCAGCTCCTCTCCCCTCCCCAGAAGTTAGGGTATTAAAAATTCCTACCTTCTAATCACATGGTTGGTTCTCTTGGTAACCAGCCTAGGTGGGGTCCAAAAGTCACCTTTTGTCATAACAAAAGACTCCTTTATCACTGTAGCGCCAGCAAGGCAAGGAGCAGGTTTTCTATGATCCAGGCAGACAGGTAAAGGAGTCCTAGGGCACTCAGTGGCTTTTTCAGGCTTTTAATGATCTTTCTACATCATGTGTAATGAGGCAACCAGGTGCAGGGCAGGCAGGGGACCCAGGGGGACAGGAGGCTGATGGGCCTCCTAGCCACCAGCGAATCTTCACTCCTTCTGGGCTCTCTGGCATCATCTCCTGGTCTCTTCCCTGGTCTCCACTGCAACCCACCACACAATCCTCTGCAGCCGTGCTGCCCTTATATGCTAAGTCTCTTGGCTCAGGTGTGCCCACTCATGCACGCCCATACGGCACTGCAGGTGCCACCATGAGGCATGCGTACGAGACCACAGTTGTCAATCATAGATGCTAACGGCAGGAGGGGGGAAATCCTGATAATTACTATTACCCTACAATCACCCTCAGTACTTAAGGAAATTCCAAGGGTTTTAGGAGCTCTGTGCCATAAATGGGGAGGAAGACTCAATACTTATTTCTTACTACATACCATACTATTACACTCAGCTAGCAAAATGGAAACCACTGTAAGTGCTTCAGAAAGGGCATTTGATAAAGAACTTGGTTACTGGAAGATTGGAAGGGTGAGAGGAAGAAGAGGAAAGAGGATATCACTGCAGGAAGCTGCTTCCCTAGGATTGGAAAAGAGAACAGAAAGGGCAAGTGTGGACTTGCCTTTGAGGCTGTGGGTCTTGCTGCTGCTTAGCAGGCATCTAGGAGCCCCTAAGCCTGCTGCTGCTGCTGCTGCTGCTGCTACTGATGAAGGACAAGAATAGAAAGACTAGAAAGGAGGCCTCATAAGACTAAAACCTGACTCACACAAGGAGGTGGGGGTTGAGGGGAATAACATGACCATTAACCCAGCTGTAGAGGTCATGACCCTCAGGCACCAGTGCCTTATCACAAGGCAAGAGACCCAAGCAGGACCAGATGCTACAGGGCGTGGAGCACAGGCCTGAGGGTAAAGATTTGGAGATTGGGCCCACCCTGGAATCTCTGGTCCCTTCCTAGTTTTGCCTGTTATCCAACATTAGCAAAAAACAGCCACTCCACAGAGGGACCCCTCCCAAAGAGAAAAGGACTATATCAGTGCAGTCTCTGCACAGGTTCGGGGCAGCACTCCCACTGCCCACCTGTGACTATTCAGGTGCTTCTTTTCACCAACTCTCTCTCCCTCTGTAGGGCAGCAGCCTCCTGCCTGCCTGCGACCTGTATCACACCAGGACTTCTCTTCACTGACCTCCTTCAGCGGAGGCCACTCTCCTCAAGGCCACCAGCCTGCAACCATGCAGGTCTCTCTCAGCAAACCTGTCCCTTTCCCTTTCCCTAATAAGCCTGCTCTTTAAATAAAACTAATGTCTCTGTTTCATGGAGAAACCCACCTGGGAAACTCGCTGCAGGCCGCTGAAACAGGAGCTCTGGTGAATCTGTTATAGGACAGGGAGAGGGGCAGCCCAAGCCCCGCAAACCTGCCTATTCTACATGGGTTCTGCCATCCGCCACATCAACACAAAACATAGGAGACTTTAATGGGAAGGAACTTTAATAAAACTAGGAAACAATACAGGTAAGGTAAAGAGTCTAGTTTCTAAATGAAGCCTCCAGAGTTACCCGTCCCCTCGTGGGTAAAAGTCCATCCAAATGGGATTGGCCCAGAACAAGGCCCCAAAGCCTGCTACAAGTCTAAAGCATCTTCCAGTGGGGACCCACAGGAAAGGGCCAGAAACAACTGGACAAGCCCGGAAGGAAAAGAGCAAAATCAACATCAAGATAAAAGCTGCTATTGTCACCTCCCCACGGGTCTCACCCACATCTGTGTCACCCAGTCCACGACCAAAAGACAAGCTCAGTTTCTTCACGTGTCTCTAGGCTCCATCCTGCTTCTTCCTCAGTCTCTTCTTCAGCTTCTCCTCTTCCTACTCAGCTCCACCCTCCCTTGGGTGGGGCAGGGAACCTCCCCCTTTCCTGGGGACCACCCTGTTACAAAACTTTTTCCAGAGTGAACCCAAGGACCCCGCAACTCTACAAGACTCCATCATTTTGGCAACCACAAAGGGACTCTTCAGGTCATCTGGTGCCAACATCACTACTGCTGCTGCTGCTGGAAGCACTAATCCCGCCCTCAGCCCTGGTCCCCAGCAGCTGACAGGTCACCATTACAGGGTCCTCTGCAGACGAAGTGTCTGCTGCTCTCCCTCTCTCCCCCAACCTTTGATTTTAGTAGTTCTGATGCCTGTTTTGGTTTCTAGTTCTTGTTTTTTATTTTTAAAATAAATTTGCAATCTTCACACAAACAAAGGTCCAGGATCAAATGCAATGATTTCTTTTTTACTCCATTTTCCAATAGAACATGAACAAGCTGTTTGCTGACTAGTCACAGAATTTTCTGTGTTTTCCAGCTTGCGGCAGTGGTTATATGTAACTTAGAGTACAGGAATTTTGTCATATATTCATTTCTAATCATCTCACGTAAAACAAGCTAGAAATTCTATGCTCTAAAATTTTTCTCTAGTTTTTTTAGTTTCCTTAACTTTATTTTAATTTTTTTAATTAATTTATTTCTTACATCATTTTGTCCCTATAGTTCTCCTACCATATCACCCGTGAACCATCACCATATTCCCTTGTATTCTTCCCTCCCTTGTTTTGAACCCATTTTGACCCCCACCGGCACCCTCTCTTGCTGTAGACCTCAGATCTGTGGTCAACTTGCTAGTTTTGACTTTTCCTTGACCTTTTCTAAAATTTTTATTTTGACCAAGTGATTAATGTAGGATTAATCAGTGTCTCACAAAAAGTTTTAATATGACTGCGTTTCATTCTTTCCAAAGCATCTGATAGTTGCTTAGAAATGTATAATTAGATATTAAACAGGACCAAAACCACATAAATTCCTCATAATTTTCCATATTACATGGCAAAACAACCAGCACTTTATAAGAAACGGTGGACAGAAGTCATCCAGAAACAGGAGCTCTATTCACTAGCTGTTTTTGATCATTTCCTTCCTGATCTAAAAATCCAAGGATACAGTTGGAAGTGCTCTGGCTGGTTTTGTTTTATTAGCTTAAGAGAGAGAGAGAGAGAGAGAGAGAGAGAGAGAGATCAGGAAATCTGAACCTATACCAAAAACAACTTTAAAGACTCAAAATGAACTCTGAACAATATTCAAAAGTCAATATCCTTTTCAACCAAAACATTCATTTATTGGTGCCCCCAAACATGTGTTATACCAGCATAATAGCAGGCACTGGAGGAGAACAAATTCATACTTTAGTAAGGCAAAGAAAAGTAAATTATAATTTCATGTGATAGTTAGTGCCTGTCAGATCTCTGCTCATCCTCAAAGCCCAACTCAAGGGCGACCTCTTCAGAGCATTGTCTTCCAGTTTGCTTCAGTGAGAATTAGACTTTCCCTCTCTGCGCTCCCAGGGTGCATTGGGCTCTCCTAGTGCAATCCTGCACCGATACCAAGGGACCTCCAACTGTTATTGTACATTCTAAAAAGTCCCAGCTATCTGCACACACAAAGGCAAAGAAAGCAAGATTTGATGTGAAGTCTTTAATTGCTGTGGGGAGAGATTAAGATGGGGTGGCAAGAAAGATTTCAAATAACAGATTCCAAATGAAACTCTGATTATTATCCATCCCCTCATGGGTAAATGCCCAGTCAAACAGGCTCAGCCCAAAGCAGAGCACTTGAGTCCTGAAAGCTGGCCAGGAGTCTCAGGCACCTTCTGGCAAGGAACCACAGAAAGGGATAGGCAGGAGATAAAAGTGTACATTTATAGAGGTTTGAACCTATACAGAGGTTATACAAAGGTATAACCCTACTTTACAATAAACATAATTTGGGGGGAGAAGCAAATATATTTGACCCAGATAAACTTTATTTCATATGCATATATGTAAAAGCATAACATGAGTAAAAATTCCTTTTTTTTTTTTTTTTTTTGTGGACCCTCTCTGGTAGCCGGGGATCGAACTGGCACTGCAGAAGCTAGAGGAAGTCTTGCAACCCAGCGATCAACCATTGCGCCACCAGGGGAGGCCCTGAGTAAGAATTCTTTAAAATATAGACTGTAAGCAGGAAGCATTTGCTCAAGGTTCTTCTTCAGTCTTCTGTCCTCGTCCTGATAAAACTCAATCCAATTAACCTGACGTGCTCTTCCACCTACCTGCCTTTGATAGGCTCTACTTGAACGTAGAGGAGTCCTGCAAGAAACCTGCTCAGATCTTATATCCTCAAATGTCCCATGCTTAATACACCTCTATCTGCCATTCAAGTTCTGCAATTTTACTTCTATCATAGTAGTCTAAATTATATTATATTATAGATTTTTATGCATGGGACATATCCCTACCAGATTGTGAATCATTAGTAAATAGAACATAGTTTAATTTGTCTGATTTTTGGCATAACACATTTCTTTACACATATGGTACATTCAAGAGATGTTATTTAATATCCATTCCATAGAGTAATGCAGGTCATTCTTCCCAATCACTCCCCACTCACTTCACATTGCATTTCTAAAAACAAAAAACCAAACTCCTCTAAAGTGAGAAACTTCTGCACAGGGAACACTTTCTCAGCCATACCCCACGTCCTACAGAAAAACCTCTGAGAATTAGGCCCTCCCACTTCTGTTTTTTCACATCTCTTATCTGAGACATTTAAATATGACTCACTTTTGAAACTCTGCAGTGAATCTAGATAGTTACTTAAAAGTATGAGGTTAAATTTACCATTAGCAACAAAAGAGAGAGAGGAAGGAAGAGGAGTCCAGCAAACTTCCTAAACGTTCTTAATGACTTGATTGTGGTTAAATGTGGACACCTGGCAAGACCTCCTGGGGACCCGCCAGATAGTTGAGACTTCAACTGTTGTCTCAGATTTTTGGTAAGAAAACCCAGATTCACTTGATGACGTGTGCCTAACTTGTTTTGCTTATATAGATAACATTTTAAAAAATCATAATCTTTTCTTTCCCTCTATCCCTTCCCCAACTTTTGTTTTATTCCCCTAAACACTCTACATTCTATTTATATTTGCTCATAACATTTTCATTCTGAATCTAACAGTGAATTTTTATTTTCTTCTCTCCAATCTTGAATTGGCTTCTTCTCCATTTGAACTTTGAGTCCAGCTTTCCTCATTAACCTTTGTTTTTCAATTCAATCTATTTTATCATTCCTCTTTTCCCCTTTTTTCTTTTATTCGTTTGCTCATTTCTTCTTATGCTCATTCTGTCATGCTATCATTCATTTTTGATCCTATCCCTAATATGGTTGAACTTTTCCTTCCCTATCATAGTTGAAGGAAAGAAAAAAATAACTCTCAAAATGAGCATTTATTCAAGTAGTTCAAGTAATCTGTGACCTTTAGTTTCTATAAGACACTGTGCTAACTTCTGTGGAATAAACATTTAGTAGGAGCAAGATTCTGTTTTCTATCATGAAATTTAAGGCCAGAATGATAGATAAGATGGCCGTGATTATAATGAATTTGAGATTTTGTTTCTTTTTAAACTATTGATAGTCTGTAAACAACAAAAACTAATCCTCTACTAATCTTAAATGTAAAGGTATTTTTCAGTCAAGCTACTTGGAGAAATGTAAAAAGTGATCTTGCTTGGAAAGACTTTTATGACTCTGGTTCATATATATTTCCAATTTCAAGAGAGATAATATGCACTATTTAAAATATAGCTCAAGCGAGATGATTCAGTTTCTTTATGTTGCGACAGTGTAACTTAGATATTTGAGTAAATGAAGCTAAAGAAAGAGGAATGAGAATCGCTTCTTCCTTATTATTTTGTTGACTCCGTTGGTTTAACTTCTGCTAATATAGAAGACCCTGTGACAACATTTGGTTCACTCAGCAGATGTCTTCCAAGTCAAAATATATTTTGGGGGCCTCTATAAGAGGAAACGTAAAATGCTACTAAAGCCAGTAAGAATTGGGAAGTGGAAACAGAAAGGAAGTTAGAAGAGACTATAGCCTTAGTAGATTAAAAGGATAAGGATAAGGACTTTAAATTTAGTTGAAAAAGAAAAAACAAGTAAACCCTCAACAATGCCCATCCATCCATTCAGGTCATCTTTGATCTTTGTCATATAAGGCATTGTGCTAACTTCTATGAAACAAGTATTTAGGTACAAGACTCATTTTTAACCATCATAAAATGTTAGGCCAGAATGATAGATAAGGCAGCTAACAATGATAATTATAATATAAGACAAATGTGTCATTGTGGAGACAATATGAAAAGAGGTTCAACCAAAACCACACACACGTAAATTTAAGACATTAAAGAACTCATTTCTGATTGGGACTATAAGAGACAGTTTCGAGAAGACATAATATTTGATCTTGATCTTGCAGAAGGGTTAGGATTACAACAGGTAGAGATTAAGGGTGAAAGAAAGAAGAGGGTAAGGAGAAAGACATATATATTCCAAGTAGAAGTAAACAGCATTAACCAAGGACTAGAAAATGGCAATTAACTTGGAATAATGACTTACTTGGAAAGTTGGAAAGGAGGCCATGGGAGTACTCATGACTGGTGAAAAGTAATGTCACAAAACCCAAGACAAGACAGTGTTAGGAAGTCAGTGTATCAAGTGATATAATGTGAAGGAAGAAGACAGAGATAAATATGCCTGGGTTTGCTATTTAGAGGCAAGTTTAGTGGAGGGGTCAGGGCAGAGGAAAAAATCAAAGGGTTAAGAAGTGAATGGTGAGAAAAACAGACCCTAATGGAGCCAGTATCTTTGAAAGAAAAACTATACAAAATTAGTAGACTTAAACATAAAATCTTGATGTAAAGTAAGATTCTAGGTGGGAAAGACGTGTGGATAAATCAGCTATAAAAATATTTTACAACAATTGGGAAAAAATAGAGAAAGATTGGGTATTCCTAACAGTACAATCTTACTGTGTAAGGTGAAAAAAAGAAAGCAGTTTATAAAACAATGTGACAGCATCTATACCTGTGTTATAGTAACATTCTTCACAACAGCTGAAAGGTGGAAGCAACTCAATCATCCATTAGCAGATGAATGGTTAAACAAAATGTTCCAGATAAATGTCATGGAATACTATTCAGCCTTGAAAAGGAAGAGAATTCTGACATGTTACAACATGAATGAACCTTGAAGACACGCTAATTGATACAAACCAGACACAAATAGACAAATGCTGGATGATTGTGCTAACAGGAGAAATGGAGTGTAGTCAGATTAATAGAAAAGGTAGTCAGCAGACGAGTGGTTGGCAAGAACTGCAGTGAGAGGAAGTGGGCAGTTGTATGATTAATGAAGAGTTTTAGTTTTACAAGATGAAAATGGTTAAGGTGTTAAATTTCATGTTATATGTATTTTACCACAATTTTTAAAATTTAAAACATTATGTATAGTATGATACAGTAGATTTTAAATCATCTATCAGACAATACCTTTGTGTGATCCAAAGTGAAGTCAAGAAATACAGACAAAAACAGAGTGAGGGTTGTTGCGTCAGCAACACCGCACTGATAAGTAAAAGAAACAGGAGTTGTAGAGCAGGCTGTGGGATGCAGGATACTGCTCAAAAGCAAGAGCCTGGCCTTTTTTTTTTTTTTTTTTTGACAAAGGAAAGGATGGGTCAAATTGAATACTGGATTTAGGGCTTTAGGGAGGGTGAGTCTGCTGATATACTCCTGAACCCCAGCCACAGCTCCAAAGATATTAACAAGGCACCCCACTGATCAATCCCTGGGACACAAAGTACATCTATCAACCAGGCCCCTGGGCTTTCCCTGTCATACTTTGTGATGTATATCTATTGCTCCAGGGCGATCAAGTGTCCTGCTCTTGTCTAACTTGAAAGGAGCCTTGTATGCCCACAGAGGCCCTTGGTGATTCTACGTCATTATGTGGGAAGGTGCAATTTTAAAAACAAATGTTATTTTTAACATTTCTGTTTGGATTTTTATAGATGTTTAGCAATGGAGTCTTTCTCTGCTGAGACCAATTCAATGGACCAACAGTACTGGGATCAACCCCAAGTAATTCTCTCCATGGTCCTTTACAGCCTCACTTTCTTACTGGGCCTGCCTGGCAACGGGCTGGTGCTCTGGATCATTGGCCTAAAGATGCGCCGGACAGTGAACACAGTTTGGTTTATGCATCTCACACTGGCGGACTTTATCTGCTGCCTCTCCTTGCCCTTCTCCCTGGCTAACTTGGCTCTCCAAGGACACTGGCCCTATGGCCGTTTTCTGTGCAAACTCCTCCCCTCAGTCATCATTCTCAATATGTTTGCCAGCGTCTTCCTGCTGACGGCCATTAGCCTGGACCGCTGTCTGTTGGTGCTCCAGCCAGTCTGGTGCCAGAACCATCGCAGAGTGAGGACAGCGCATGCTATGTGTGGATGCATCTGGGCGGTGGCTCTTGTAATGTGTATACCTGTGTTCATATACCGGGACGTGGCTACGATAGGCCACCATACTATCTGTTACTACCCTTTTGACTTTGCAGACTACCACTTTGACCTACTGGAAAATGAAACTCAGAACGATGCCATTGACCAGCTGCCTGATCACCCATCTCAAACATTACAAACACCTTCTGGAAATTCTCTCCCTATGAATTCAACTGAACTACCTAGTCCAAGGCCAAATTATAATTTATTTAAACCTGCTGATGTGGTCTCATCTACAATCCCCAGTGGGTTTCCCATTGAAGATCACAGAAGGAACCCACCGAATGACTCTGATGCTTTTCTCTATAGTGATTATAACAACTCTTTTTATAGGTATGGGGAATGGGTGGATTATAATGAAAGCCAGTATGCATATGACAATCAAGTGGCAACACCCCAGGGAGCAATAACCTTCACCAGGCTGGTTATGGGTTTCCTGCTACCCTCTCTCCTCATGATCGTGTGTTACAGCCTCATTATCTTCCGAATGCGACAGGGCCGCTTTGCCAAGTCTCGGAGCAAAACTTTTCGAGTGGCCATGGTGGTGGTTGTGGTCTTCCTTGTCTGCTGGGCTCCCTACCACATCATTGGAGTGCTGCTGTTGTTTGTTGACTCAGAAACTCCCTTTGAGAGAGCTCTGAATTCCTGGGATTCTGTGTGCCTTGCTCTAGCATCTGCCAACAGTTGCTTCAATCCCTTCCTCTACGCTTTCCTGGGGAAAGATTTTAGGAAGCAAGCCAAGCAGTCCATGCAGGGTATTCTGGAAGCAGCCTTCAGTGAGGAGGCCACACGCTCTATCAGTTTTCCCCCAAGCAAAGTCTCTTTGGACAAAACCAGTATAAGTACAGCTGTGTGAGTTTAGGGGCAGTTGACACAGTTTTGGAGTGTTGGCTCAGTGCAATGTATTTCTAAAAGGACAAGGGAGGGATGTGGTGAGAAACCATCGAAGTCTGAACTTAGAGCTTCTCAGTGTGGTCCCAGGCGATTGGTATCTCTTGGTATTTGTTAGAAATACAAATTGCCCAACCCCACCACAGACTGACTGAGTCAGAATCTGTGAGGATGGGGCCCAGCAAATAAGCTCTTGTGTTTCTCATAAAAAAATGCCAAATTGGGGGAATCATTGTAAAAATTAGTCTGTTTCTATCCCACAGTAAGATAAAAGAGAGTGAGATAAAGGAGACTCTAGTCTGTTTCTAGTCTGGTGATATTTCCATCATGACATTCTTTTTATGTCATTTTTCAGTGTTAGTGTTTAGTATTATCTAAATCCTCTTCCAGATGCCATTTAAATCCATATTTTCTAGTCCTATCTGAGTGAAAGATGATCATGTATTCAATGGCTTTATTTTTGTGGCAGTGATTCTGGTGTTTTTAAATGAAAACAAGATGTTTAAAATAAAGTCCATAGAAACAAGGAGTTAGGAGACTGAGTTTGAAGCAGAGCACAGTGCCACATCCTGCTAGGAACGCAGCCCTGTCTACAGGACAGAGAAGCCCAGTTTCCAGAGGAAGCCCGGTTTTCAGTAGTACAATTAAATAAGCATCTACTGCATAGACAGACCACCAAGGCATCTAAAATCTTCTGAAATGGTACGGAAGCTGCCGTTTGAGGAGATCTCTGAGTGGTTACTCTTTCTGCCTATTGAACATCTTTCTACCATTCCTTTCCTTAAGCTCCTTAATTCCCTCAACCCTCCCTTGCCTCTAAATCTTCTTCCACATCGCTCTTTGTGCCTCAAATCATCTTTAATTTCGTAAGTTCAAATCACTCACCTCCTCTTCTGCCAAATTAAGAAACCCATTTCAAATGCAAGGAGAAAGAGGGTAAAGGGGGGGTAGAGCAAGTTTTCAATTCACTGCAAAATGACTGAGGACCCTCTAGGATACTGTCAAACTTTTAAAAACATGACCATAGGTGTGACTCTTTCATGCCAAAAAGACCAGCTGTATCTTTCAGTTTTCCAAAGTAATACACACTTATAAAGAGAAGTCAAGCCTCAAAAGGAAATGTAAGTTTCCTGCCTAGTGTCCCCTCCACCCTCTTTACGTCCAGATAACCCTTGCAACATTTTAGATGTTCCTTCTGATACTCACCATATTTCTAACTCATGTGCCTATGCTGCTAGTTTTTGCTGACATAAAACTTGTTTTGAGAAATGAAGAATTTTATCCACATTCATATTTTTGGATCTACCATCCCAATATTCATTAACCATATTTTAATTTGCTTCATTATCTTCTACTTTATCCATTCCGATCCCATAATCAGTTTTCCTTCTCTCCTTCATTTTTAAAAATGTTATTCCAGGGCCTCCCCGGTAGCGCAGCGAGTTGAGCGCCACACTGTGAAGCTCTCTGCAGCCTTTGCAGTGCGAGTTCAATCCCCGCAGGCTGGCGAGAATCCCACATGGTGTGGCAGACCTCTCCTGTTGCGCCCGCTGCTTCCCTCAGCAGTGTATTTCTGTCATCTGCCTGTTCTGCTCTCTGCTCTGTCTCTGGTGAATCCTCTCACCCTCCTGCACCTCTGGCTTGTATAAAAATAAAAAAATAAATCTTTAGAATAAATATGTAATTCCACCCCCTGACACCTTCTAATTTTCCTCTGTATAGTTTTGTGTTATGCCTCTAAGATTTCAGGATTTTGGGGCTTCAACACGGTCTCATGATGTCTTAGGCTTGCAAGGTACTATAATTTGTTCAATGATTGAGGTGAGCATCTGGATTACAAATTTTTCATAAAGTACCATGGAGCAGAATTTCAAAGTACAAGAAGTTCTTTCAGTTGTGAAATAATAATGTCTGATAACATGTAAAATTTGCAATGCTACCTTTAATTTTATGTTTATCTACTGGATATAAATAAAAGCTTTCTTTCTTGTGGTTCTTTGAACGACATGGAGATTCATGAATCCTGTTAATTGTTTGAGACTAGAATGTACCATAATCTCTAAATATGCAGCAAATGGGTAGCTCACAGTAGGTTCGCTAGGGTAGCAGCAATAAGCCAAGCTTCTGGAAGACCTAACACATCTCCCACGGCCCAGGGTGTAAGTCCTAAACTCCTGGAGTTAGTATGTGGGATATCGGAGTGAATGATGTTGGCACAGATATAAATATTCAATAGTTGGTATTTCTATACTCCTTTTGAGAGTTCCATTTGCCATGAAAAATTCCTACAACCAAAATTCCCCCATTTCTGATGAAAAACTCTGGAAACTACTAAGTATAGATGGGAAGTCCCAGACAGGGACCCAACTCCTTGCTAAACTGGGCTCTTTAATCTTTAAAACACCCCAGAAGGTAAGCCAGGTACCCTAGTCTATGCACAATCCAGCAGGGGCTGACAGCCTCTCCAACACGATTTCACTGGATGCAACAGCATTCAAAAAATATTCAAGGCATACTCTTAATTTTTCTTTCTTATCAATCTTACAAGAAATTTCAGGGTCAACTAACCAAATCGAATGGTAGGAGGTGGGAGAGGGGCTGAAGGTCATTTGAATACACTTTCACACTCCTCCCTTCTTACCCTGGCAAAAAGAACCTTGAGACCAGCACCAGACAGCTAAAACCACAACATTCTTTTTTTTTTTTTTTATTAAGAAAGCATGCAAAAAACAACAACTGTGAGACCGTACACCCCCTTCCCAGCCTGCACCAATGCAAAGCATTACGGGTGGTATGAAGGACTCACCAAACCAGAAACATGGGGGTTGAAGAGAGATAGGCAGAGGTGGGTGGATCTATACCAAATAATTGCCCCTTCTGTCCCTCTCCTCCACTTTCTCCCTTATTTCCTCTTGTCGGCAGTGAGCTCCTACAGTTTTGCACACATCACCCCATACAACAATGACTATACGTTAAGTCCAGAATGCCAGACCAACAAGAAAAAGTAGTATCTTTCCATTTCATGGAGGGGAAGGGAAACTGAGGCCCAAGAGGGTCAGGTTTGTCCTGTGCCATTTAGCAAGGCAGATTTTAAGTGGAGGGAAGCTAAAATCCCAGGCCCAAACTTTAGTTTCCCTAGCTGCCCGCCAGGGTTCTGAATGAGAACAGTTTTCAGAAGACACAGATGAGTCATAAACAAAGGACATGTACATGTCTGATTTAGTCTACTCTTGCAAATCCTGTATGGATATGAGTAGAAAAGGAGTTTAGAAAAGAGGAGTCATCATTTGAAAAGGGGAAATCTTGGGGAGGACAGATGGGAAGTTGGGTGTAGGAGGCACCTGGATTGGAAAAATAAGAAAGAGATGCCTAACATAGGGGCACTGGGCAAAAGCATTTTGCCACCCTCTAAGGGAAATTCTCCTTTCCCCAATGGGAAATAGTACATATTCTTCAACCCCATTAACCGCCCTCCAACACAAAGGGGGATTCAAACCACTCATACCCCCATTGCTTACAAAGAACATCAAAGAAATAAAGTGCTCTTTAGTTAACCGCCCTTTCTTGCCCCTTTACTTCACCTCACTGGACATGTTTACAAAAGTCTCATATATAACCCCCAGAAAGACAGGAAAGGGGGGGAATGAGGAGAAAAAGCAGGAGAGCAGAAGACTACATCTCTTGGAAATCATGGGTAAATAAAAGAATATGAACAAAAAGCAGAAATCAGAGAGAGCGGCCTTGTCCATTCCATGTGTTTTGTCCAATAACTTCCAGAGAGTGAACAGTGAAGCAGAAACAGAAACAGAATTGTTCTTCCCTCTCCAAACTACAACTCACCATGAACATTAAAGATCCAGTAAGCACTCTGCAGCAATAAATCACAGCTACTCCTTTTGAAGGAGACAAGGTACCCACATAACTTTTTCAAGGAGGGAGAGTTTCTCTCAGCCCTCATCTAGATGATTTACTCCCCACATAATTTCCTTCACCCCTCAAAAGCCTGATTGCAGAAGTTGCAGTCCCACTGACTGGCACTCCCAGGGAAGTACTTGCCTACAGAATTGACAACTGAAACATTCCCTACCCATATCTATGGCAGCTCCCTTTCCTTTCCCTGCCCTCAGGCTTGCGGCTGCTATTAGAGGTGGGAAAGATTCTCATCTGGCCCTAGGACAGGAGAAAACTGAGTGATGATGGTTTACTTTTCTTTCTTGAGAACCCCAGAAAAAATGGGAAGCGCAAAGAACATGGGTGGAAGAATTGAGCAATCTGCTGAATGGGAAAGGAGGGTGGAGAGAGAATTTGCAAATGCAAATAAGAGCCACAGTTCGTTTCCAGAGAAAATTATGCCTATAAAGCTAACATGGATAAACTGAAACCATCTCTAGAAAGCTGAGCCCATGCTGGATGGTTGCTCTAGAAGCAGAGTTCTGGCTAAGACTAACCCACTCTCCTGTAGAGAATGGGCTAGGAAGAAGCCAATGGGAGTTTGACACAGTAGTAGATGCTCAATCCCTGACTCTCTTACATTCCATTGTACCTCTACAGTATTCTACCCTTACCCCTCCCCCACCTCTTACTCGGATTGCATTTTTACCCGCCTGACCACTCCCATCACTCCTGCCCTTGATGGGGAATGAGGATAGGCAGAAGTAAGGAACAAAGATATAAAGGGACAAGGAAGAGCTTGGAGGACAAAGTTAGCACCATTGAGTAAACCCTGCAAATTCATGGCTGCCACACAGTGTTTTCGATGCCTTCTGCTTACATAATATGGCCTCTCCAGCCCTGCACTGAACTGACAAGAACAGAAGGCAATGAGGGCTGGAAGGTGGGGTGAGCATTGAATTTTTCAAAAGGGCAAATCAGATTTGAAACCTTTCTCTGTAGCTGTCATGGCCACACCTTCCAGCCAGATGGTTTTAAATTAGCAAGGGGTGGACATGGTCCATGGTGTTGGGACAGGAGACTGGGGACAGCATATAATCAATAATAATAACAATAATATAATAAGAATAATAATAAAAGAATTAGGAAAAAACAAGAAGGAAGAGGAAGAATGAGGCAGAAAAGAGGGGGTTATCTTCGGCAGCATCTTGCGGTGGCTTCTCTGACAGAGAAAGAAAAAAAAAGAGGATATATATCTATATACAGGCAAGGGGGGAAGGGAAGGGCCAGGGCTTCTTTCCCCACTGCCAGACTTCACCACCCAGCCCGAGGCTGAGGTCACACTCCATGACTCACTAAGTGATCAAGTCCCAGTCGAAGTCATCAGGGATCTCCTCACTGGCGCCAGGAGGTGGAACTGATGGCCGAGGGACCATATGGTGTGCTGTCAGGAAAAGGAAATTAACAGGAAAGCGGTTAGGAAGCTGTTCTATCGACGTAGGTGGGACAGAGCTAAACCTCAGAAGTCTGATACCAGAGGTCATGAGCGCAAGGCAGATATGCTTCTATTACAAGTTCATTTCATTGAACTTACTCTAGATGGAAGTCTATCTCCTATCTAGATTCCAAAGTTAGATATGAATATTTTACATGACTATCATTCCTTTAATTTATGCTTTTTTGCTGCCCTTCATTATGGTGAGTATGAGTTAATTTTAGAATAGATTGGTCTTCTTTGGTCTTCCAGGACACACATCTCCCTAGCAGGGGGCCCATCTTTCGTGATCTTGGGAATCATGAGGGCTCACTGCCCCCCAGGTGTCCCACTCTCCCCACCTAGCACATGCAGGCAAAATGCAGACTCAGAGCCAGAAGAAAGTGAAACAACTCATAAGGGTAGAGAGTGCTTGACTCACGGTGAACCAAGTTTCCTGGCTCCTACCTGGGCGATTGTATCCTGCTGAGTCCTGCGTAGGAATCGGGTACATTGGTGATGGGCCAGGGTAGAGGTGGGGGGCTTGCGGGTGCCCATAAGAGTTGACTGCCAAAGCAAACAAGAGTTACTTGGACATAGGCAGGTGCAGAAGCTTTCTGAAGAAACAATTGGACCTCCACTCCTAGCAGGGAAAGGCATGTGATTCTGGAATTGTGAAATATCATAGCTATTAGCATGAAAGCTATAGAAGTGGCATCACCGAATCTCTCACTTCACTGGTATGAAGATCGTGAAAGTGTAGAGAATCTCATCTCCACCTGCTATGATTCAGGTAGCAGACGTAGAATGAGAATTCAATTTTCCCTTAAGAAATTTTATCGGACCTCCCCGGTGGCACAGCAGGCTGAGCATAGCGCTGTGGAGCTGTCCGCAACCTCTGCAGCGCTGGTTTGATTCCCGGCCAGCCAGGGAAAATCCCAATTGGCACAGCAGACTCTCCTGTTGCTCCCACTGCTCAGCACTGTATTTCAGTCAGTCTGCTGTTCTGTTCCCCGCTCTGTCTCTGGTGAATCCTCTCACCCTCCCACACATTTGGCCTGTACCCCAGTTCTTGTATGTATGGATAAGTAATCTTTAAAAAATAAATAAATAGGGCCTCCCCGGTGGCGCAGCGGTTGAGCGCTGGGTTGCAAAGCTGCCGGCGACCTCTGCGGCGCCGGTTCGATCCCCGGCTGCTCCCCGGCCACCTGAGGAGGGTCCCACATGGCGCGCAGACCTCTCCTGCCGCCCGCTGCTCCCCTCAGCAGTGTGCTTCGGTCCTTCTGCCTGCTCTGCTCCCTGCTCTGGCTCTGGTGAATTCTCTCACCCTCCCGCGCTTCTGACTGTACCCAGTGCATGTATAAACAAAACAAATGAACAAACAAACAAATAAATAAATAAAAACATGCCTCTATAAAAAATAAATAAATAAATAAATAATCTTTTTTTTTTTTTTAAAAAAGAAAGAAAAAGAAAGAAATTTTACCTCCCAGGGCCTCCTTGGTGCTGCAGGGGTTAAGTCTCAGCACTATCAATCTATCACCAGACACTGCAGCATGAGTTCAATCCCTGGCCAGGGAGCTGACCCACATGGAACAGCAAACCTCTTGTGTTTTGCCTGCTGCTCCCCTCAACAGTGTATTTCAGTCAGTCTGCCTGTTCTGCTCCCCACTCTGTCTCTGGTGAATCCTCTCACCACCGACCCCCCGCACCCTGGCATCTCTGGCCTACACCTCAAAAATAAATAAAAATAACTTTAAAAAAAAAAAGAAAGAAATTTATCTCCCAAGTCAAGAACTTAAAAGGAGGGCCTCCCCTGGTGGCACAGCAGTTGAGCGCTGGGCTGCGAAGCTGCCTGCAGCCTCTGCAGCGCCAATTCGATCCCCGGCCACCAGTGAGGGTCCCACATGACGCGCAGACCTCTCCTGCTGCACCCGCTGCTTCCCTCTGCAGTGTATTTCATCAGTCTGCCTGTTCTGTTCCCCGCTCTGGCTCTGGTGAATTCTCTCGCCCTCCCGTGCTTCTGACTGTACCCAGTGCTTGTATAAATAAATAAATAAATCTTAAATAAATAAATCCAGTCAATGGGACAGACAGGCTGGTCTCATGGCTCATTTGGATCACTGCCCATGAGCTGGGTTTTTCTCAATTCTCTTCTGCCCTCCCCATGGTCTTCCTTTTCATCATCCTTGCCACCTCCTTTCCCCCTTGCTTTGTGCAGTACCTTGGTTCATGCCTGGCTCTTGTTTGCCACTGGTGAGGGCACAGGAGTCAGCAATCCGGGCAGGGGCTGAGGGCCGGTGGGAGCCCCCTTGGGGGGGCACATGACCAGTCTGAGTTAGGAAGTGGTTGAGGGAGTCACACAGATTGGCGATGTGGTGCTGGTCCAGGCTCCAGTTCTTCTGCTCTGCCTGCCGCAGACTCTCCATCAGTTCTACAAACAGAGAAGCAAGAAATGCCAGCCTGGCAGAGGCACCTATGCGCCTACCAGCCCATCCCGTCCCACTGTACCAGCCACACCCTGAATCACCACCACTGAGGACAAAAACTCCAGCAGTGGGGGACATCTCTTAGAGCTCCAAGTTTCCAAACTCTCGTTCTATTTGTTCTATTTGGTATTATCATTTCCACCTCACTGATGAATAAAACAAAACTGCAAAGCCACTGAGTGAAGCAGCAGTGGTCACACAGTCAGCAAATGGAGGCAATACTAAAAAAGTGTGGCCTGGGGTGTCTGAGTTTCTGTGAGCTTTCCCTCTCCCAGAAAGAACCAGTGAGAATAAACCACTGTCCCATTTTGAGTGAAGGCAAAATTCATGAATATTAATTTGAAAATAACATCAATATTATCCACCTTATATAAATGTGGAAGGGAAACAATGAAATCCTCAGTCTTCACCAAACCACCCCCTTCTGTTCTGGCTTCTTCCAGGCTTTCCACTGGCCACAGCTCGGGCGTCCCTCCAGCCATTATCCTTTGCTCACTGACCTGAGAACTGTGACTGCTCGATGCTGGACCAATTGAGCCGATTGACCATCTTGAAGCTTTCCTTTAAGGAGTCGATATTGGAGCACCAGTCAGGTGGGAAGGCTGCAGAGAGGAGGGAAAGTGTGTAATGTGATAAAGCGTGAGATGGAGCCAACTGATAGCAGACTGGCCACATGCCGGAATCAGGCATCTACGCCAGTGATCCGCTGCATACCAAGATAACTTTGAAATCTTGCCCCTTAGAGATTTGGGGCCATGTAATTCTATCTATGCTTTAGGTACAGACAGACCAGCACATAGGCAGGGGACTATGTAAAACAATTCCGATTTCTGCAAGAATTCTATAAAATAAAGCTCTATGTTCTAACTTAGGTTTACTCAGATGAGTTGGCATGGAAGAGTGAGGTTAAAAGGCCCACTAGCAACTTTCTAAGCAATTGTATCTCCATGTCAGAGTCCAAAGAGGGGCTGATTCCACTCTCCTCTAGGATTTCCCTGCACCCTCCTTACTCACCAAAACCAGGGCTGTTGATAGGCGTCTGACCCTGCGGCTGCTGGGCAGGGTGGGAGTGGGGGTGGTGTTGATGGGGATGGTAGCCTCCGTGCTGCAGTGGGGGCGGATGCATGGCCATCACAGGGGGCGGCCCATAGCCCTCAGCCCCAGCTTGCTTACCCCCTGGAGGGGTACAACCATCTGGGCTTGGTGTGTGCAGCGGAGGAGCACTGCCCACAGTTGAGGGGCCCTGGGCTGGTGCCGGCTGCTGCTGTGGCTGTGATTGCTGGGGTGGTGGCTGGGCTGGCGGCTGCTGCTGCTGAGGTGGCGGCTGCTGCTGCTGGTACATGTAGTAGTTGTTGGAGGGTGACATGTCCCCCAGGAGAGACGAAAAGCCTGCAGGGCCGAAGGAAGCAGCAAGTTACTCGGGCTATGCAGTTTTTACTAAAAGGATTTCTGCAGGATTAAGAAGGGAGGACTCAGATAGCAAACACAGATGTCAGAGGGGAAGGGTGTCTGGTTAAGCCAGGACCCTGGCAACTCTGACAGACAGAAAGGGAGGGGCCTGACAGCATGGCAGTCACTGAAATTTTAGCAAAAAAGATCAGCATGTAATTTGATATGCTATTTTTCAAGAATTTGGGGGTAGACATAGAATCATAATTTCAAAAGCATCAGAATCTCCCTTCCCAGAGATTCTGGACAACAGTAGATGAAACTTAAAAAAGCAATTAGAGGGCCTCCCCGGTGGCGCAGTGGTTGAGCGCTCCTCGTGGAAGCTCCTCGTGGCCTCTGTGGCGCCGGATCGATCCCCGGCTGCTCCCCAGGCACCGGAGGAGGGTACCACATGGTGCGCAGACCTCTCCTGCCGCCCGCTGCTCCCCTCAGCAGTGTACTTTGGTCCTTCTGCCTGTTCTGCTCCCCGCTCTGGCTCTGGTGAATTCTCTCACCTCACCCTCCCACGCTTCTGACTGCACCCAGTTCTTGTATAAACAAACAAATAAATAAACAAACAAATAAATAAAAATATATGCCTCTAAAAATAAATAAATAAATAAATAAATAAATAAATAAATAAATAAATAAATAAAAGCAATTAGACATGACTTCTTGGGGATGTCTATTCTCTCCTCTTAGTTAGTGGCTCTACTGTTACCCCACTTCTGTTTTCTACCAACAGATGGAACTTGGGTGAGGAGTATAGCAGACTGGACAGGGAAGAAGGACTGATTGAGGCAGGGGTTTTCAGCCACAGTGGAACTTGGGGGAACACTTTGCTGTCCTCTCTAATCTGTTACTTTATATCTGAGTCCCTGTTCTCTGCTTTCAATCAACCAATCACCTGATTGGACTCATTTCTCAAACAAATGCTGTAATCTTGGACGACAGCTCTAAATAAGAATCCCCGAAGATCTAAAAGATGAAAATCATGACAGTCAGTATAATTTTCCAAAGAGTGACTTCTAACAAATTCTTGATCATTCCCTTCATATCTTACTGCCTATTCTAGGGCACCCCGTAGAAAAAGAAGTTCTGACAACTCACCTGAAGTCTGGCCTTCACCCTTACTTCTAGTTTCTTTAAAATAACAACAACAACAACACACACACACACAAAGACACAGACACACATACACACACAAACCAAGAGAGAACTGAACCAGATGATTTCTCCTAAAGCCTGCCAATAAGAACCTTAAGTCATTCTCACATGACAACTCATGAAATTTGAATATGGACAAGAGATAAACTGATACTGTGTTAGGAATGATAACAACAGACAAGAAAAGTCTTTATCACTAAGCATGCATACTGCAGTGGGATTCACAGGTAGAACAACATGTCCAGGGATTTTATTAATTGACTCCCAATTTTGAAAAAGCTGGGTAGTAAATGAAACAAGCCTAGAATAATTAGTAACTATAAAAGCGGATGATGGAGACATGAAGGTTTTTTTTATACTTTTTTCTCTATCTTTGCATCTGCTTGAAATTTTTCTAATAAAAATTGAAATAAATATAGATATACTAAAAAATAAAATTGTTCTCACCAAGAAACACAAGCATTCTTGGGAAGAGGGTACTGCTGCTGCCCTCTAGAGGCCAACCTTTAAATCACTTGCTCACGGATTCTTCCAACTCATTTTCCAAAGCTAGTAACACAGCCTGCCTCCTGAAACAGCTATCCTTAGAGCCAAGCCAGAACATGCTCCCCACTTTGTCTCTAGTGAATCCTCTCCCCCTACCCCCTGCACTTCTGGCCAACACATGCATAAATAAATAAATCTTAAAAAAAAAAAAAAGGACCAAGCCAGAGCAGCTCAGCTGCAGTGTGGGTTCATGACACGCTTTGTCTGACCAGTGACCAACTTCTTGTGCTAAACACAAGAGAGAAGGGAGAGAAGAGATTGTCATACTTGTTCTTATGTGTAAGGACAATTCCATGCTCGTATCCCAAGGCCAGACTCACTCACCATGCTGGGAGGAGGAAGACGACTTCTCCAGCATGGATTTATAGAGGTTGCGGAAGGACCAGCTTAGGTCCTGAAAATTGATCTCTGAGTAGGAGAATTTGAAGTCGTGATTGGTGCTATACAGGGGAGGAGGGCCCTCAGCACTCTCTCGACCTGGAGCCCCTGCAGCCACTGCTCCACCATCCACAGATCCTGTGCTCTGCAAATAGAGGGAAGAAAGATTTGATCCATGTCCTCAATGAGAGACCAATACAGCTCATTAGTGGTCACGAAGCTCCACTGCCTGGCCTCTTCATCTTCTCCTAACTGTTCAGTGAGCGAGCACCACTTTTATCTTCTTGTCTCATTCACTCTTTTTTGATGTAGCCATAGTCCTTTTCCCACGCTGCCCCTATGTCCTGCTTTTCCCTGCTCAGAAATTTTTTTGGTGCTCCCCTTGTTCCCTTTTTAGCACTTTTTTTTCCTGATCTTTCTTCAAGTTCTATTATGCCTTCCCTTCTCTGTCTCTCTCTTCCCTCTTTTGCTTTCCCCTTCGCTCCCAATCTATTTGCCTATATATCATAGATACTAATCAATACCTAGTTTTGAACTGACGAATATATCAATCTATCCATCCACCCACCCAACCACCTACTCATCTATCCACTGACCCATCCACCCACCCATCCATCCATCAATCCACTCACCACCCATCTATCCACCCATCCATTTACTGATCCATCCATCCATCCATCCATCCATCCATCCATCCTTATGCCTCCTGCCACCCCTGCTTCCTACCTGGCTGTAGCTGGTGATGGATGTGGGGTTCTGAAGTGACATCTGAGGATTACCCTCTGGAGGCAGTGAGGCTTCTCCACTCCCTGGAACACCTCCCCGGGGGCTTTTGCTTGCTTCCTGTTCTGGTGAGTCTTGGGATAACTGAGGGTGGTGAAAAAACAGAAATCTGTATGCACAAGCTAAACATCCTCCCAAGACCCACAGTTTCACCTCTGCTGGTATTTATCCTTTGCCCCAAATATAGGAAAGGGTGAGATAAAGGAAAGGAGGGGGTTGCTTAGAAATGGCATCTCCCCACATGGTAGGGACTTACATCATCATCTGGAGGGTGCCTTCTCTTTCGGGAAATGTCAGGGCAGGTGTCGATTGTCCAGTAGGAGCCCTAGATGGAGGACCCATCCCCACAGAGAACAAAATCATTATGTATGGAAATTCCCACCTTTGGGAAAGTAGATTTTTGGAAGGATTTGAGCATAGATAACAAATATATTAAGAAAAATGGCCAAAGGGGGCCTCCCTGGTAGTGCGAGGGGTTAAGATGCATCACTATGAAGCTATCCGTAGCCGCCACAGCACAAGTTCGATCCCCGACCAGGGAAGTGACCCACATGGCACAGCAGACCTCTCCTGACTCGCTCCCTGCTCCCCTCAGCAGTGTATTTCAGTAGATCTGCCTGTTCTGCAACCCATTCTGTCTCTGGTGAATCCTCTCACACACACCCCCCACATCTCTGGCCTGTAACCCAGTTCTTGTATGCATAAATAAATCTTTAAAAAAAAAAAAAAAAAGAAAGAAAAGAAAAATTACCAAAGATTCACATATTGAGGATACTGGCTATTTCTGAGGAATAAATTTGTCCTAAAAGCTCACTGAGTACGTTGAGGCACCCCCTGTGGTCCAGACACAGGCCCGATTGTTCTGGAGTGGCAGAACAGTGGTATTGGGTTCAAAGAGCTGGAAATGTCAGAGACAACCCTTCCCTTCCACGTGCTCTGAGGCAAGACTCTCTTGGACTTTGGCATCCACATCTGTTAAATGAAGAGAACCATCTATCCTGTCTCCATTATGAAGATTTAAAATCATGGGATTTTTGTATAGAAAAGTTTCTACAAAGGTTATTAAAGTCTTCCTTTTACATCTAGAAAAGGTGCGACACACCAAAAAGGAAGGCATCAAAGTCAGCTTGATCATAAGTATTTCTATTTTTAAAGACAGATTTCATAATCTTCCTTAGTCACCCATTTGGATGGGGGTCACAAGCTTGATAACCAAGCTCTTCCTTTGAGGAAAAACTAAAGCTGCTTCTCTAATTAACACGATTTCCTCTTCAGGGTAATTAAAACAGCCAGCACAACTCAGGGGCTGTCAACTACTCCTCTCTCCTTCCTGCTCCTCCCTTCAGTGCTTATAGGAGGATCTCACCTTCCCGGGGTCATCCCGAGGTCTGGGCACCTTCCGGAAACACTTGTTGAGCGAAAGGTTGTGCCGAATTGAATTCTGGGGAAGCAAAGAACTAAGTTAGAGTAGAGCACTACACCAAGCAAAAAAGTTTCCAATGGGACAGAAATGGATGTAACATATAACAATGTCAAGTTTGAGGGTGAACTTAGCACCTCTTAACTAACAGATGGAGGAAAACACTATCAAATAGCTATAAACAATGAGACGAGAAAATGCAGAAATAAACTGATAATGGCTATACAATCATCCTGCCCTATTCATGGAAGATACATTATTCCAAGACCCCCATGGATGCTTGAAATAACAAATAGAGCCAAATCTCATAGAGACTACATTTTCCCTCGGAATATCAACTATGCTAGAGTTTAACTATAAGTTAGTCACAGAAAGATTAACAATAATAACTAATAATAAAGTGGAACTGTAATAGTCTACCGTAATAAGAGTTATGGAAGTGGTCCCTGTATCTTTCAAAATACCTTATATAATATTTTCAGAACACGGTTGACTTTGGGTCACTGAAACCTCACAAAGCAAAACCACAGATGAGGGGGGCACTACTGTAATTCTGATTCCCAGGTGCTTCTGGAAAGCTGATTCAATAGTTTTTCGATCTATCCCTTCTACTGACACTGGTACACAAATGCTTTAGCTCACATCTATCCAATTCCTTAACTCTTAGTAGCAAAACTGCTTACACAAATGAAAATGAAATAAATTAGGAGTGAAACAAAGGTACATTTCATCTTTGTTTCCTCAACAGCCCATAAAAGGGTCACATTAGGAGGAAATAAATATCGCTTCGAATTAGGTATTGGGTGGGGTTGGGGTTGTGGTAGCTAGCAGGGACATACTATAAAGGAAAGACTATTGAATGCTTTCAATAGTCTCCAGGTTATTACCTGGTTTATATGATAAGTGGTGACTTATAGAGTGAGAGCACTACATTAAATCCCCTTTCTGCTCAACAGCTGGCTGTTCCAAAAGATCCAGAACATCAGTCGACCTTCTTTGCCTGGAAGAGGAGTCCCTTCTTCCTTTATCTCCAGCCAAACAATTTATCCTCTCATTACTTGCTTGGTGGATGAGCTGTTGGTGAAGGATTTAATTATATTATGTTTTTCTTGGTATGCAATTTTTCAAAAGATGATGATTGTGTACAATAAAGCTTTGGCAATCTGGTGAGATTCCCACCTCTAGGTAGGAAGGAGCAAGGCTTGAACCTAGCAGAGTGGCAATGCATGTCTGTGAAATGAAGGGGTCTCCTTTTGAGGAATCAGAAGATAAGAGGGTGTGAGGAGAGGGCCTCCCTGGTGGTGTAGGGGTTAAGTCTCAGTGCTATTACCTCTACGGCCTGAGTTCAATCCCGGCCAGGGAGCTAACCCAGAGAGCTAGACCTCTCCTGTCTCGCCTGCTGCTCCGCTTAGCAGTGCATTTCAGTCAATCCACCTGTTCTGCTCCCCACTCTGTCTCTGGAGAATGCTCTCACTCCCTACATCTCTGGAGTATACCCCAGTTCTTCTACACATAAATAAATAAACAAACAAATAAATAAATCTTTTTAAAAAAAGTGTGTGATGAGCAGCAGCATCCCTGTAACTGTACTTAGTGGCTCAGTCTCAGTGGAGTTTACCTTACAAAAGCTGTTCAACTCTGAGAAGAATTACAGGATGAGAGAACAAGATTTTAAGTTCACACATCTCATCTCTGAAACAGGTCAGAGTGAACCGGACCAGGATATAGGAAGAAACAAAAGTAGAGAAAATAGTTGTTGAACACCAAAAATAATCCCGGGTTACAGAAGTGGTCCCACCTTCCATCCAATGCCGGCATTCTTATAATAGGGGAAGTTGTCACAGATCCAGCGGTAAATCTCACTGAGAGTCATCTTCTTGGCTGGAGAGGAGTTGATGGCATAGGTGATGAGGGTGGCGTAGCTGTATCGTGGTTTGCCATCCTGGTGGACAGCCGCCTCGTCTTTGCTCAGGGTGGCATTAGGATCTGTGGGTGAGCCTGGTGGACACTTGCGGCTGCCCCCTGGAGGTCCGGCCTGGGAGGCACTCCCAAGCTTCTCAATGGTCGCCCGAAGGGTCAACTGGGGGAGCCAGTCTATGGAGGTGAGGCTGCTCTCTAGGTCAGAAGCCATGGCACTTCTGGGCTCTGCAGAGAAAAGGACAAAGAGAAATGGGAAACAGAATAGATGGGTGATGTTCCTGGTTACTGAGAACAAGCAGACACAAATCCTAGTGCTTTACGAAGTAGCTTTGTCCCACTATCATCCCCACAGCAGAATCCTCGAATGGGACAGCCCTCAACCAAGTGTCCCCAGAAGCTCCAAATGGACATATCACCCACAACCTACCAAATGATAAGCTGGTATACTAACTCCACATCTTAATGTGCAACGTGGCCAAGAGGTCTCTCCCTTCACACAGGACTAAAAGAGGGACAAAACTTCCCACCAAATGGAACTACTCCCCCACTCTCCTTACTTAAAGCCCTGCACCATTATATCTTAAAACCATGTAGAGATCATTTTAAAAAAGAACACTTACGGACTCCCTTGTGGCGCAAGGGGTTAGGACGCAACCTATGAAGCTATCCACAGCCACTGCAGCACGAGTTTGATCCCCGGCCAGGGAGCCACCCACATGGTGCAGCAGACCTCTCCTGACTCACTTGCTGCTCCCCTCAGCAGTGTATTTCAGTAGATTTGCCTGTTCTGTTCCCCACTCTGTCTCTGTCTTTCTCACCCCCCACATCTCTGACCCGTACCCCAGTTCCTGTATGCATAAATAAATAAATATTTTTTTTAAAAAAAGAACACTTAGCAGGTAAAACAAGACAAAGTCTATTCTCCTATTAGGTGAAGCTTATTCTATTCACATACATAACCTACAGATAGAGAGCACAAGCAAATACATAAAGAAAAAATATATAATACAAAGACACTAATGAATCACACACCAACACCTAAAGACGTTTCCTATAAAGTATGTTTGAGCACCTCCCACATCTCCCACATACTTGCACACGTGAAGCACATGAGCTACATCCCAGGCATCTGTTACCTATGACAACCCACCAAGGACAAATGCAAGACAGAGAGGGACCCATGGACACAAGAGATCATGGTGAGATACACAGCATACATTACCAACAGGGCACAAAGTCACACACAGAGGTAACAGATCCTGAGTACAGCTGCCCTCACACCTTTAAAGCTCCCCCTGGCAAGCTCCCGCCCACAGACACCAACACCAGGAAGAAGGCACCAGAAGGACCTCCTACCACTCAGCCTCAGCCGTCTGGGCTTCACTGAGCCAGGGAGACACCCAGCTGTGTGCACACCGGTAACAATCAGATAGCCTGGCTAAAAATAGCCACTCTGGGGCTAAGAGCTAGCTCTTCTACTCCCGCCCTCCTCCTCTCTCCTTCCTTCCCAGCAAGGCATGCACGCTCACTGCACCTCCATGCAAACTCTTGGCGCTGCCAAACCGCCCACGCCTGATGTTTGCACGCCCTGCTGCCACCCACACAGCCTGGGCGCTCCTGCTGGCAGAGAGGTGTAGTTAGAGTGACGTCTTAGTGGGGGAAGGTGAAGATCAAGGATGGGTGATAGCTGTATTGCAGGGTCTAAGAAAGCTGGCGGGAATTGTTTGGTAGCCACTGACACTCCCAGAGTGCTGACGACAGCAAGCCCCTAAGCACTGGCCACCTGACAGGTCTGGGTCTGCACCTCTGTCTAATTCCAACAAGTGTCTCTTCCTTGTGCCCTTGCTGACAGTCCCACCAGCCAGGCGTTTGTCCTGAGCAGCCAGGGAGAGTAAGCCTGAGTTCAGAATCCTGGGCGGGAACAGACTGCGTGCGTAATCTCTCAAGCCACACCCAGATGATAGGCACAAGCAGATCCATACAACTACACACGAGTCCATGCACTGTAAAAGCTCAGTCCCAGATATGACTGCCTCCCTGCTCTTCTGACACATCTTTCAGGCTGCTGGCTGGCTCTGCTGGCTAGCCATTCTCCCCTAGATGCTTACCCCTTTCTCCTGAGGGTCAGCTGCTCACTCATCTCTCCTCCTCCATATCCCCACCCCCGCAGTCTGTGCAGGTACACACAGGTACCCTGCCCTGCACTCCTCACCAGCAATATGCAACACACCCACTCCACAAGGCTGAAGGAAACACCTTAATGCCTCAGGGGCCTGGGCAGCAAGAGACTCCATTGCGACCCAAAAAGTTGTTTGACAGGAGAAAGGAAAGAAAAAAAAAGAGGGGGCCCTGTTTATAAATAGCATCATGAAGAGGTTTCCCCTTTATCCTAAGCTCCTCTCCCACCACCCTCCCTTTTCATCCCACCATCACCTCACCCTAAAATCATGGGAAGTTGGAGGGACAGTTCATCATGCCAGCAAGCCTTAGACCTCATAGCACTTTACTAAGTCAAAACTCCACAGCTTCTGGGGTAAAGCAGGGTGTTCTGGGCAATAACCCAGTCCTGGGTTATTCTACCCGACAGTAACATGCAGTGAGCAGGTTCTCGATGACCATGCTTCTCCCAGTGCTCCCCAGAAGGGAAGGTCTGCAAAGACATCTGGCCCTATTCCCTATTATCTCCTGCTAAAGCTCCCTAGGAAATCTCAATAACACAGAAGCCTTTAGCAGACATAAAGAAGAAAATCTCCCGACATCACACTGGGGCATGAGAGTTGGTTTAAAGAGGTTTACTGAATCCACTGGCATACAATCCACAATCACGGTGAATTCTAGAACGAGATGCACTCTCCTCTGGCTCTTGATAGTGGTCCTATGCCCTTCCCTATCCTTACCCCAGCATCTGGTCCGGCCTCTGAGGTTAAATTTAACCTTTCTCTAGCACCCTCCCAGTCAGCCCTCCAGATCCCTCCCCTACACTCAAATACATTCCAGTCTTACCAACTACAAGATGCTTGCAGCAAAAGATCCTTCTGATCTTTCAGCACCAGTCTCCTTGAACCCATTCCACTTCCTCACCCCTTCACTTCCCCATTCTTGAAAGGCAGCCTGGTACATACAACCTCAGAGACTGAGGGACCTGGGTTTTACAACCAATCTTGACATTGACTCACTAAACGTCTCTAACCACCCCCTTGCTCCCTGAGGTCTTGATGCCTCAGTGTCCCCTTCCATAAAAAAAGGATGAAGTCATAGGCCCTGCCAAAGCTTCATCCCTGGAGGGAAGTGAATGAGGCTTAATGAGCTCGTGGCTGTCACACATTCCACGCTCCCCAAAATAATGGCAGGAGGCTAATATTCGTAGCTATTATTAGAAAGGCAAACAAGAGGTACTTCCATTTCTCAGTCCAACCAACCTAGTTACCCAGACCTCTCTCTCCAGGTGGGCCTCGTGCCACTGGGCTGGGGCAGAACCTGAGTCAGGCCACATTCTTCTCTGCGTGCTGGAAGACTGAAAGGAAATACCCAGAGAAACTGGGAAAGGCAGCCAAAGGACAGGCTCCATCACATCCACAGGGCGTCTAAGAAGACTACAGGACTGGGAGAAAGGCAGAGAAAAACAGAAAGACATTCTGTTGGCGTAGAAGACTGATCCTGGATGAGATGTATAAGATCCAAAATAATAGGCAGTTGTTTTTTTTTCCCCATTTCATCCAAAATGCCAGTGATTGTTTGTTGCACAGTGCCAAGGTGAGGTATTAAGGAGGGATAACTTCCTGCTTTGTACATAATGCCCAAACTCACAGAGCAGTGGCTACGTTTACCACATTACCAGTTACTAATCGGGCTGCCTGGTATTCAATCCTGGCTCTACAACCTACTGACTGTGCAACCTCAGGTAAGCTACCTAATCTCTCCATGCTGTAGGTTCTTCAGTTATAAATAGAGATCACACCAACACAGAGTTGTTACGAGAATTACCTTGGTGATATTTTAAATGCACTTAGTATTAAGTGTGGCTAGTAGTATTTTTGAATGGGGGGAAAATATTAGAAACTAGTAAGTAATAAACTAACAGACCTTAAAGGTAAGACTAGAAGCGGAAGTCTACAATGGTTTGCATTGCAAAGCCTGCACTGAGTTTGCTATGGTTTTCGGGGCATTGGAATCTCGAACTTTTCCTTTATGGACAGTATTGCCCCAATACTGACCAATAATACCAGGAGCACAAAAAGTCCAAGAATGAAGAAATGGAGTAACATCATCTTTTTGTTGTTTTTTGTTTTTTTTTTTTTTTTTTTGGGGGGGGGGTATGGAATAAGACCAGGTCATGAGACATGATCTGGAAAATAGCACTCTCTAAATCACACCTAATCTAACCCATGAACCATCTGCCTCTAACAGATTCCACATAGGCCAGGAACATTGAGTCCAGGTAGTTCAAGTGTGTGGCAGAACTCACCAGAGGTGCTGTGACACAGGTCACCCAGAGCCATTGGACAAGTTGCATTCCAGCATCTGTAAGGTGCTTTGTGAAAAACAGACTGCTTGCTGGTAACACCAGAGTTGGCTCTTTTCGAAAAGTGGGGGAGGGAGTTCTAGAATTAAGTGCCAAGGATCTTCATGCTTTTGAGAGCAGAGATCTCAGAAATGAAGCTCTCTTATTAGTCCTGGAAGAAGAATCGCAGTCAGCCGGAGCTGCTCTGCTCCTTGGGATGACTTTCACACAGCTGCTCGGGAGGGCTCCCACCGGTCAGGGGAGGCCAAGCCCTTCCTCCCAGCTGGGCATCCTCATCAGCACCCTCTCCTGGTCCTAGCACCAGGTCACCTGCATTTAGAGGCCTACCAGAAATCTATAATCCTAGGTAAGGTGGAGGCTTTGTCTGAAAAGCACACATGTATCCATCTCCCACACATCCCACTTGAAACACAGAGATAGAACCACACTCACCTCTGAATTAAGAAAAGTATGCACATCCTGCTAGAGCCCAACCACAACCTGCATTATAGCCGGGGCTCACATACCACCACCAACAGGTAGCTTCTAGGACGCGCTTAGGGTCGTAGGCAGCTGACCCAGAGGCCCGGACAGAGGAGAGGGGACATAAAAACCAAAGTAGGATAAAGCCCCCTCCTTGGCCTCACTCTGGGGTATCAATACCCCCTTACAGACGAAAAGGTGTTTCTGAATGGCAAGACAGGAAAGCAAGACCCAGCTAGTGATCCAAGGATTTCCTGGCACCCTTTTCTGATTTTTTGGGAAGATTCTGGGTTTTGATGACTTTCATTCCTAGCTTATGAAAGAAAACTTATGTACAAGATTCCAGTGACCCAGGACTGCACAAGAAACAGGAAAGGAGAGGGTAAAACCATTAGGCGCATCTCTAAAAGGAAACACATCAGAGTCTAATCCTGGTAAGCAACTTATTTAGATGGAAGACAGGAAGGAGGCTGAGCCATAACACGCCTTTCTTCCTCTCCAGGACCACATTTTTCCTGAGAAACTGTCAAGGACAGGGGACTGGGCCAGTGGTACAGGGCCAGGCTTAGGGACGAATTTCCACCCAGGAGTTACAGGCATTCTACAGCCTTTCTTCTCACCTCAGGACATGTGGGATTCCCATTTTTCCCTCTGGACTTTATAGGTAGAGGCAGGCTGCCAGCCAGGAATAGGGAGAGGTTTCTTGGTGTCTGAAGTTGGGTGAGTGGGGACACACTGCTTTTCTTGTCAAGGGAGCAGAAATCGAAGTATTTGGCAAGCACAGCTCAAGTGGACACTGAATTGACCTAGGGTTAGGGACAAGAAGATGTGACACAGAGAAAGCCCTGGACAAGGCCAGGCCATGAGCTGCCACTGTGATTTTAGGAAGAGCCCACTGTCAGGGTGAAAAGGCCCAAGGACGAGTGTGGGAATCTGGCTGGATCATCAATCACTATCACACAGCATGAGTGGCGTTCGAAAGTGCAGGTGCTCTCTGATATCCTTTTGCTGTCAGTGTGGAAACACAACCTTCCCTGGGGACCTCAAATGATCCCCACCGGCTGTCCCCAAACACTAAGAAACCCACTTCTCAATGTCTCTGCAACAAGATGTGGGTTCAACTCCTGGAGTTTCATCAGAAAACACTTGCCAGAGGATTCTCTGAGCTATTATTACTCTTTACTTTCCCCAATCAAAATCCCAAGAGCCACCATCTTGGGCCCCTCCACCCATTAGTGCATACAGATGACAGACAGAAGATGAAGCACTAACCTGTCTCCAAGGTTCCCCCAGCACAGGGAGGGAACCACCTGGTACTGGCGTTTGGGGTTGGAGGGATGCCCCTCTTCAAAGGCAGATGGACAGTCTCATCCTCAGTGGCTCTTCCCGTACTTGGCTGAGCCCCCCAAGCAGTGGAGGGGAACTGGGTCCCCCGAGGATGAGGATGAGGAGCGGAGGGAGGAGGTGGTGGGGGGGGAGAGGGAGGTCCTACCTGGGGAAGGTGGCACACCCCCCACACCCGGCCTGTAATCCTGGGGAGGAGGGGAGGAGCCTCTCCCAACCAGGAGTTGTCTCCTCCCCCTTGGGGGAGTCCCCCTCCCCCCCAAACTGGATCTTTCGGGAGTGGAGGGCTCTTTCTGTCTGCTGAGGATCTGAGTGGAGGGGCTCTGCCCTGTTCCACTGTCTAGGTGCAAGGAAGTTGAGGGGGGGTTTCTGCCCCTCCCCTGAAAGGCTGAAAGCCGATCCCTCGTCTTTCCCGGGAGTGTCCTCTGCTCCAGGACTAGCCTGTGAGTACTGGATAGGATGGAGGTGCCTACTCCATAGGCAGAGTCCCTCTCGCTTTGCCTCAAAAGTCCTGAACTGCTCTGAGTGTGTGCCTGGAGGGGCGGAGGCGCGCTGGGGCGCGCTCACTCTTGCGTCCTTTCGTAAGGATCCCCCCTTTCTACTTCTGGAGGTCTATTCCCGGGCCAGGATGGGGATTTTCCTCGCCCTTAGGCAGGCGAGATCGTCCCCGGGAAGGGGTCTCTTCTTTCCCTCGCCCGAGTGGCCAGGGTCTTCTCTCCAAGCGGGAGAGAGGCTGCACCCGTCCCCGCTCCCGCCTCCGCTCCTGGGGTGCCCCCGAGGGTGGGGCTTTCGTACTCCCCGCTCTCCCCGAGCTGGCCTGGGCAGTAGGGTCCGGGAGGCCGCGGCTCCCCGACTCCCGGCTCGGGCTACTGTGGCGCCAGCGCCTCCTGCTATCCCGTCCCGTCCGGTCCGCTCTCCTCGGCGCGTGGGGCTCCCGGCGCTGCCACCTCTCGCGCTCCGGCCAGTCGGGGCTCCGGGGGCGCCACAGGCGGGCGGCCGGTGTCAGGGCTCGGCTCGGGCTCGGGCTCGGGCTCGGCTCCGCTGCAGGCCCCGGCTCCTCCCCGGCCTCCGCGCCGCGCTCCGCGCCCCTCCCCCTCCCCCGCCCGCCGGGCCGCGCCGCCGCCTCCCCGCGCGGGTTAAGGAGGAGCGAGCGGCGCCCGAGCGCGGGGCGCGGAGCGGGGCGCAGAGCCGGGAGCCGCGCCGCCGCCCGAGCCCGCGCCCGCCGCGCCCGCCGCGCCGGCCCCCGCGCCCCGCCGCAGCCCGCCCGGCGCCCCGCGGGACGACTCGCCGCGCTCCGCCGCGGAGCCCCGGGTTCGCGCCAGGCGCCCGCTGCCAATTCCGATTTTGCTCTACCTCGGGTCGGCTGACCTTGTTTCATCCTGCTGTCGTCTTTCTACGGACGGATGAGCGAAAATGATATGCGATGCACAGCGTTGCCAGGAACGTCTCCGACGGGCTGCTCTTTGCCCTGAGATGGTTTATGGGGACGCCCCTGATGATACCAGAGGTTACCCTGGTACCATCGGTCCCCAGAATGCTTTTTGAATGGGAGACCATATAAAGGGACAAATGTGCATGTACAGGAGAAAACTCTGGACCAAACATTAGAAAATCTAGTTTTATAAACTCGTGCAAGGCCCCTGTTCTGTGGGATCTTGGTCAGCGAGCGGGGGACCTTGCTGCTCGCCCAGCCTTCCCGATTAGGTGTCGCAAAGATCAAATGAGATAATTTATGTGACTCTGCTTGTTAGACTGTCCCCTATACAACGTATGCAAAATATGACTATTGTTCAGTTCACTTGACAATTCTATAATATTCCTTATCCTCATCACTAAGTGTGGAATGTTCAAATTCTCTGTCCCTTATAGACGAATCCCCACCCAGAGACAGAAGATGCCACGAGGGAGCCCACCTCCACTTTTACTCCTCTAGTCCTATTATTTCTCGGCAAATTGTTATATATATTTCATTCTCTGTCCTCATACATTTTTTTCACATAAAATACTATGAAGGCAAAAATGTTACTCATGAAATATTTGAATTCCTTTAAAAAAAAAAAAACTGCATAAAATAATCAGGGTATGGAAACAACCTAAATGCCCAGCAAAGGATGAGTAGATTAAGAAGATGTGATGTCCATATACACAATGGAATATTACTCAGGAATAAAGAAGATGAGATGTTGCCATTCAAGACAAGATGACTGGAACTCGAGAGGATTATGCTAAATGAATTGAGTCATAAGAACAAAAACAAATACTGGCTGTTTTCACTCACATGTGGAATAAGAGAAACAAAGCAAAGGAACTGACAAAACTAAGCCAAAGCAAATCCTAGAAATCTGACTGTAGAGCTAAGGCTATTAGGGAGGTGGGAGAGAGTCAATAGGGAGAGAGTCCAATGGTCTATGGTAAAGGACTAAGGGTGCTTTAGTGGTGGGTGTGGTGTGGTGATATACCTCTGAGAAGGTGTGAACCTGTTCCCCTAAATCATATATAGGATTGTAAATCAATGTTACCTCAATAAAAATATAAAATAAAATAAAGACTGCATACTCAGGATTACAGCCTGATGACTATGTATAACTTGATAGTAAAGTGTATTGTATGTAATAATTACATTACATTGACAGTGTGCCAGGCATTGAGCTAAGCACTCTGCAGGTGTTACCACATTTAATTCTTCTAACAATTCCAGAAGGCACTCTTATTATACCTTTTTTACAGATGAGAAAATTATGACTTACCTACTGACTGCATCAGAGTTCACATGATTAGTACGTAGGAAAATCAGGACTCACACCAGCAAATCTAAATGAATTCAAAGACCAGGCTAAATTTCTATTCCATTATCCTGAATTGTCAGAATTAAAAGTCATCCTTAAACTTAAGAAAATGAAGTCCAATTGATCCCTTTTCCCCTCCCCACCCTTCTAATATCCAATATCCAAAACATTTAAATATAGGTTTAAATCTGTATTTATCCCCCTCTTTGAAACAAACTCAGTTCTGACACAGATAATTTGGCATCGAATGTTTCTTGCTATATTGAGATGTATTGTTATGCTTCTTTTTCTCACACTTTTTCTATGTATATGGAATTTGGGGGGCAGGGCTAGAGAGGGAAAAGTACTACCACTTGGGAAAGGTAGGGAAGGATTAGACTCTCTTTTCCAGGAAATGTGGAAAAGTGAAAAGCTCCAGAAATCATTTGAAATATAAATGATATTTGCTGTAGCATTATTTGTAACTAGAAAATTAGAAACAACTTCAATAAAAATATCAGGGTAACTGTTAAATAATCTATGTTATGCCTTTATATAGAATACCAGTTTAGCTTTTAAATAGTAGTAGTTTTTTTCCTTTTTTATCTTCTTTACCATTTAGATATTTAGCAAAAGGCTTTACTATTTTAATGAATCAATTTTTCATGCATCTATTTTTCAGTGAGAAAATCATGTTTAAAAAGTTTCTATAGGGGGGCCTCCCCTGGTGGTTCAGCGGTTGAGCGCTGGGTTGCGAGGCTGCCCACAGCCTCTGCAGCACCAGTTCGATCCCCGGCCACCAGCGAGGGTGCCACACACACACACACACACACAAAATGTTTCTATAGGGCCTTCCTAGTGGTGCAGGGGTTAAAGTCATCAAGGAATCGCCAGCCACTGCAGCATGAGTTTGATGCCCCATCAGGGAGCTGACCCACATGGCCACCTCTCCTGTCTTGCCTGGCTGCTCCCCTCAGCAGTGTATTTCAGTAGATCTGCCTATTCTGCTCCCCACTCTGTCTCTGGTGAGACCTCTCACCCCCCCACACCACTGGCTTATACCTCAGTTCTTGTATGTATAAATAAATAAAAATAAATACCCTACTTCATGGTATTTTGGAAGAACTGCCTGACTTCATGTGTATAGTGCATTTAGATAAGTGCATAAAGGAAGAGGAACCTGGAGATTGAAAGAGACTTAAAAGACTCACCAACCAAACTGGATATTATGAAACGGGAGACTGGTCCATCAAATACAATAGGGGACATTGAGGGCTCCTGATATAAACAAAGCAACTGGGAAAACTTTTATGAAATGGTGAAATTTCAGTCCAGATGGTGGTGATATCAAGGAATTATTGTTGTATTTTAGATATATTAATGGAATTATGTTATTTTTTTTTGTCTCTACATTTTGTGAAAATGCAAAATGATTTAGTCACAAAAATTGCTGAAAACTACTTCAAAATAATCATCATGATTTATTTACAGTAGCTAGAACATGGAAGCAACCTAAATCTCCTTCACTGGAGGAAGTCATCAAAAAGATGTGGTACAGGGCCTCCCTGGTGGCACAAGGGGTTAAGACACAACCTATGGGGCCTCCCTGGTGGTGCAGCGGTTGAGCTCTGGGTTGTGAAGCTGCCTGCAGCCTCTGCTGCACCAGTTCGATCCCCGGCTGCTCCCCGGCCACCGAAGGAGGGTCCCACATGGCAAGCAGACCTCTCCTGCCTCCTGCTGCTCCCCTCAGCAGTGTACTTCAGTCCTTCTGCCTGCTCTGCTCCCCACTCTGGCTCTGGTGAATTCTCTCACCCTCCCGTGCTTCTGACTGTACCCAGTGCTTGTATAAAATAAATAAAAATAAATCTTAAAAAAACAAACAAACCACAACCTATGAAGCTATCCACAGCCACTGCAGCACGAGTTCAATCCCCGGCCACGGAGCTACCCACATGGTGCTGCAGACCTTTCCTACTTGCCCACTGCTCCCCTCAGCAGTGTATTTCAGTCAATCTGCCTGTTCTGCTTCCCCACTCTGTCTCTGGTGAATCCTCTTGGCCCTCCCCCCACACCTCTGGCCTGTACCCCAGTTCTTGTATGCATAAATAAGTAATCTTTTTTTTTTAAAGATTTATTTATTTATTTATACAAGCACTGGGTACAGTCAGAAGCGCAGGAGGGTGAAAGAATTCACCAGAGCGGGTAACGGAACAGGCAGACTCACGAAATACACTGCTGAGGGGAGCAGCGGGCGGCAGGAGAGGTCTGTGCACCATGTGGGACCCTCCTCCGGTGGCCGGGGAGCAGCCAGGGATCGAACCGGCGCTGCAGAGACTGCGGGCAGCTTCTCAACCGCTGCGCCACCGGGGAGGCCCAAATAAGTAAATCTTAAAAAAAAAAAAAAGATGTGGTACATACACACCATGAAAGAGTACACTGCCACAAGAAAGCATGAAATGCAGCCATTTTTAACAAAAAGGAGGGAGTTTGAAAAATTCATATGCAGTAAACCAAGTCAAAACGGTAAAAATGTTGGACAGTCATATAACACACAATTCCACAAGGTAAAACACTTGTAGAAATTACTAGACATCTACAAACACCCTGAGGACTCAGATTATGAGGGAAGGTGTGGAAAAGGGTTAAGGGGATGAAAAGGATGGGGGTGGGGGGGGGAGAAAACAAGCAAATAAATAGTAAAAAACAGAAACAGTTAGGAAAAAATATTAAAACAACATTTGAGATTATTAGGAAAAAATAAAAATAATGGTCCGTGTCTGGTGGAGTTGTGACGAGGATTAAATCACCATGACCAAGACAGGGCACTGCTTGACAGTGAGTAAACTGCTCAGTAGCATTAGCAACTGTGTTAACTTTTGATTACAATAGACCAAAAAAATAACTCAAAACAACTTGGATATAGGAAGGCATTTATTGATTCATATAAGGAATGGAAAAAAATAATCATGTGATGGAAGGCCTCCCTGGTGGCACAGCGGTTGAGCGCTGGGTTGCGAAGCTGCCCACAGCCTCTGTAGCGCCAGTTCAATCCCCGGCCGCCAGGCCGCCAAGCGAGGGTCCCACATGGCGCGCAGACCTCTCCTGCTGCTCCCCTCAGCAGTGTACTTCGTCAGTCTGCCTGCTCTGTTCTCCCCTCTGGCTCTGGTGAATCCTCTCACCCTCCTGCGCTTCTGACTGTGCCCAGTGCTTGTATAAATAAATAAATAAATCTTTTTTTTAAAAAATCATGTGATGGAGAAGAGCAGTATAGATGATAAATGATTGACAAGTGTCGCTTATCAGGATATAGGTTTTTAAAACACTATTTTTTTATAGATTTATTTTTTTATTTATACATACAGGAACTAGAGTACAGGCAGTGAGAGGATTCACCAGAGTCAGAGTGGGTAATAGAACAGGTAGATCGACTGAAATACACTGCTGAGGGGAGCAGCGGGCGAGTCAGGAGAGGTCTGTGGGTACCTCCCTGGCCAGGGATGAAACTCATGCTGAAGTGGCTGCGATGAGTTTCATAGGTTGCATCTTAACCCCTTGTGCCATCAGGGAGGCCCTTTTTAAAACACTATTAACTCTACTTTTGTATGTGCTTGAAATTTTCCAAGAAGGTGTTTTCAATACTGTTGAAGTGCTGGAACACAGTGGATTATTGTAAAGGTTCACAACTTTATACTTAGCACTTTTAATATCGTCTAATGTTTGTTTCAACCTGTCAGATTACAACGCATTTGCATTGACACGATCCCTACCAAACCTTAGTGGTAGTCACTGTCTACATTTTACCAAAGAAAAGCCTGGACCAGTGGTACAGAGCCGAGGCCGCAAGGCCATGCACGATCCACCTCCCACTCTTCCTGCTCCCGGGGCGCGGGTGCTAAGAGGAGGCGGTGCCCGCAGCCACTAATCACAGGGTCCTCTAATGGCCCGAGTCAGGTCTAGCAGGGACAGAATAAGCGGACCCCCCAAGGATTTCCTTAGAAATAGTTATCAGACAGAATCTGAGCTCGTATCAGAAATTCGAGCTACTTTATTTAAAAAGGAGAGTTTGAAAGAAAGGCGCCCCGCTGAAGTGAAATCATAAAGGAAAAGTTCTCTGCGTGGCTTGCGTTTTTGTTGTTGTCTTTTACGTAACTGTCTGATATTTTTAAGCTTCCTACGTTCTTTTTATCCTCTAACCTGTTTCTCCTCCCTGAAGAGACTAGGACCTAGGGCAGAGGGCGAGCGGCGAGGGGCGGCCGGAGAGGCCGGGGTGGGCGGTGGGCGGCGGGCGGGAGTCGCGGGCGCGCGGCGGGCGCGTTGGGGACCCAGCCCCCCTCCAGGCCGTTCCACCTTAAGCAGCCGGAGCCGCCCCCGGCGCCGAGCCGGCACCCCGCTCCGCCCACTCCCGTGTCAGCGCCGACCCGGGAACGTGGGCCGGGGAGGAGAGCCGCGCTGAATGGAAAGATTGGCGCCGGCCGCCGCCGGGCTCTCCGTCCCACTCCAGCCGCGCCGGGAGGAGCGCGGAGACCCGGGACGGCGCGGGGGGTGCGGGGCGGGGCCGTGTGCCCCTGAGATGGCGCTTGCGGGGGGCCTGCTGGGGGGTAGGCTCCTCTTGGGGTGGGGTCGAGGAGGGACAGAATTCGGGCATGTGAAACAGGCTGTACCCAGTGACCGTGAGTCGAAAATTAGGGTTCACCAGGTCGGGGCGCACCCCCCCGGCCACTGCCCGAGGAGGGGGCGCGTTTCCCACTCTCCGCCCCCATTCCCCGGCGGCGTTTTAACTGATAGAGGTTTAAGGTGGGCTGGGCCCGGCGAGGCTTGTTGATTGGCTGCCGGGGTCATCGATCAGGGTGACGCCTGCCGGCGGGGCGACTCGGGGAGGAAGTGAAGGTTATTCGGGTGCCTCCTACCCCCGCTGCCGATTGGTTGGCATTTTCGGAGGCGAAACAAGGCCTGGACTTGTCCCCCGGAGGGGGCGGCGATTGGCCGCTCTGCGGGGACGTCGCCGGGGTGGGACGGGAGCGCCCCGGGCGCTGCTGTTGTCGTGAGGGGCCCGGCGGGTTGCAACCCGGAACTGGGCGTGAGGGGCCTGGAGGGAAAAGAGGGAAACCAGCGACACCTTCGCTGCCCTCGAACAAGGTCATTTCCTGCAGGGGATCTGTAAGTTTCCTGTTTACTCAGCGACCAGGGTGCCCGGGCTGTCTGGAATATACGCGACCGTTTCTCTGAGCCTTGGCCTTCCTCTTCCCATTTATTCACACTCACTCTAAGGAGGACACAAAGGAAAGGGCAAGCATGAGGTTTTCCCCCGCCCAGAGACGGGTAGGGGCACAGACTTTACCATCCAAGCCCAGGGCAGACCCTGGATCACAGTATTCAGCAGGCGCGTTGCTAAAGAAACCATTCATAAAATCATCGGAGAGGGTGGGTGAGATGAAGAGAACTGCAAAGATTTGCCTGAGGGAAGGGTATTAGTCATATCCAGAACCTTCTTAGGTAGGGAGTATATTTTATTCGTGGTTGAATTTCGGGTGCCTGACAGTGGCCAACATGCACAACGTGATCCCAGTCAACTCAGAATGAGAACACTTTTACAAAATATGCTGCACAATTTCTAAAGATGCCAGACTTTTAGAATGTGTTTAAAGGTGTCTGCGCCGATTTTATTATCCTGAAAAAAAAAAAACTTCTTACTCAATTGGGTTAATACAGTCAGAAATTGAGAGGTAGATCTGCTCCCCCAGCCCCACCTATCTGTGGAAATGCTACCATTTTCTCTGTAACACTTGAGGCCCTTAAAATCTGAAAGTAGTTTTCCTCTCAACCAGCCTTCCCAGAAACATTGAAAAATTAGATGAAAGTAGGAAAAAATGCCCTTATCCAGTGAATGGAAAGAAGGTGTTTAAACTATAATCTGAGATTCAAGGATTGGAAGAAATCATTTGAGAGGGTTGAGAGATACCACTGTACTATAAATGGAATCGCTACTGTGCAAACCTTTGCTTCCTTGTACACATGTACCCTTTTTTCTAGCCCATTCTTTCTTAAAGCTTATGCTTTAACGTTGTCTAAAAACTGTGCTCTAAAATTGAGGGAAGGGAGAGGAGGAGGGATTAGGGTCAAAATAAGGGGGGGTGGGAATTATAGGGGGATTATAACCAAGATGAAAATGCATACATTGTGCAAAAATGAAAAATGTTGTAAAAAATATATAAAATAAAATAAAAAGAAGGAAAAAAATAAAATAAAATTGAGGGAACAGTGCAAGTACTTCACATTAGTATCAGAACTATTCCCACACAGGGATATTGGTCACGTTTGAGCAACAGGTACCTGCAGTTTATCCAAAGTGATCCCTTATTTTTTGATCTTGGATTTTCCAGGCTAGTTTATAAGAGAGCATATCATCCTGACTGCCTCTTGAGTTTCATTATGACAATAGTTTAAAAATCAGGTAGTGCGCTGGGTTGCGAAGAGGCCTACAGCCTCTGCAGCGCCGGTTCGATCCCCGGCTGCTCCCCGGCCACTGGAGGAGGGTCCCACATGGCACGCAGACCTCTCCTGCTGCCTGCTGCTCCCCTCAGCAGTGTACTTCAGTCCTTCTGCCTGCTCTGCTCCCCGCTCTGGCTCTGGTGAATTCTCACCCTCCTGTGCTTCTGACTGTACCCAGTGCTTGTATAAATAAATAAATAAATAAATAAATCTTTACTTAAAAAAAAAAAAAAATCAGGTAGTAGTTATATTCGCAATAATAAAAATACCAGGGCCTCCCCTGGTGGCACAGGCAGTTGAGCGTAGTGCTGTGAAGCTGTCCGCAGCCTCTGCGGAGCCAGTTCTATCCCTGCGGGCCAGCCAGCGAGGGTCCCACATGGCGCAGCAGACCTCTCCTGTCGCCCCGCTGTTCCCCTCAGCAGTGTATTTCAGTCAGTCTGCCTGTTCTGTTCCCCGCCTGTCTCTGGTGAATCCTCTCACCCTCCTGCGCATCTGGCCTGTACCACCGTTCTTGTGTAAATGAATAAATAAATCTTAAAAAATAAATAATAATAAAAATACCAGAGGAAAGTTATTACTTGGCTATAAATAATTCTATCATAGTAATATATTTGTTTTTATGCCAAAGGTACGAGGAGAGGATATTTAAGAAAGCTCAAAATTATGAGCTAAAAGTACATTTTGTTCCATTTGTAGTATTTTTTGAATTATATGGAAATGCATAATTTTTTAAAAGTTACTAATTCATATATGTAGAGCTCTGGCATTTGCCCTTTGATGATGCCCAGAAGGCCAAAGCCAGATATATCTATAAGGTGACCTAGAGCCCTTTTCTCCCTCAGTTCAGGGAAGACAAAAAATACTGTCATTGTTCCTAATCAAGAACGCAGGACCCCCGCTCCGCCCCACTGCAGGTAAAAATAAACCAGGGCCATCTTGATTACCTAGAAGGGAAATACTGAGTCAGGACCTTGGGCCTCAGAAGTATTGTCCACATCCTTTCTTGGAGCCCAACTGTTCCCCCTCCCTAAGCACTACCCTTTCTTATGGTACTTATGAATTTCTTTCCTCTCTGGGACCCAAGGAACTGCTACAAGACTTCAGAAGACCAAGGATGAAAATACCAGGCTATATTGCGTTTGGCATTTATGGAAAGAAGAAGGAAAAGGAAGGCAGTGGTCTAGAATGGGCTGGTAGAGAAAGGACAATACACTTAACTATTATTCAGTCCAGTATTGTATCTGTCAGAGTTGCTTGCAGTAAACAGAAACCACTTTAAGTGGAAAAGGTCTTAATACAGGGACATTGACACTTAGAAAAATTGTTGGAAGGACTGGAGGAGGCGCTTCTCTGCTCTGTCCTAGAGATAACTCTCCAAATGAGACTACTCAACTTACCCACCTGGGAAGCTACAGAAAGGTGATGATGATTCCAGACAGTGTTGTTGAAACTGTTAGGTTGTAGAACACCGTGCCCTGGTGGTGATCCAGGAATCTAAACACTCCAAGGCTGTTGAGGCGTGAAGCTAGCGAATGGATCTTGGAGCACTGCTGCAGAGGACCCCAACATCCTGTGACCCTGCTGGCCTGGAGATGGCCTCACTTCTAATTTTCAAATCTTCTGCAAATTATCAGTAGCTCAAGTTTCCAATTAGAATCCTAGCTGCAGGGAAATCTGGGAAATAAAGGTTTTGATTTTGCATCCTCTATAGTACAGGAAGACGTATGTAGAGAAGATAGAATGAGGGTGAGCCATGGCTACCACAAACACTTGTGGATCCGGATCTCCATCCTTTAAATTTCTTTGGTAATGAGGAGAATGAAAGGATGCTGAGCCAGAAGTAGCACAAGGATGAAGCGAAAGTCTGTTTCAGACATATTTTATAAAGCAGCAGGCCCATATAGGGAGGAGAAACTTTTGATGTTGTCACATAAAGACATTATCGACTCCCCTTAACCATCATCTCATAAAAAAAAATTGACATTTTTTTGGCCTCCCCGGTGGCGCAGCGGTTGAGCGCTGGGTTGCGAAGCTGCCCGCAGCCTCTGCGGCGCCGGTTCGATCCCCGGCTGCTCCCCGGCCACTGGAGGAGGGTCCCACATGGTGCACAGACCTCTCCTGCCGCCCGCTGCTCCCCTCAGCAGTGTACTTCGGTCCTTCTGCCTGCTCTGCTCCCTGCTCTGGCTCTGGTGAATTCTCTCACCCTCCCGCGCTTCTGACTGTACCCGGTGCATGTATAAATAAATAAACAAATAAATCTTTAAAAAAAAAAAAAAAATTCACATTTTTTAAAAGATTTATTTTTGTGTACAAGTACTGTGATACAAGCCAGAGGTGTGGGGGAGGTGAGAGGATTCACCAGAGTGGGGAGCAGAATGGGCAGATCTACTGAAATACACTGCTGAGGGGAGCAGTGGGCCAGTCAGGAGAGGTCTGACTGCACCATGTGGGTCAAACTCCCTGGCCAGGGCTCAAACCTGTGCTGTAGTTGCTGCAGATTGCTTCATAGTGCTGCGTCTTAGTCCTTTGCAACACCAAAGGAGGCCCCAAGAATTCACATTTTTAATTACCAAAAAGGTGGAAGGTTATACTCTCAGAATTTAAGAACTGGCAGTATTTAACTTCAAGAAAGATGCTGCTTCACTATTTACAATAGCTAAGCTTTGGAAACAACCCAAATGCCCCAAAATAGATGAGTGGATCAAGAAGATGTGGTACATATACACCATGGAATATTACTCAGCATTCAAAAAAGATAAACACATGCAATTTGCAGCAACATGGATGGCACTGGAAGGGATTATGCTCAGCGAAATAAGCCAGAAAGAAAAAGAAAAATACCGGATGGTCTCACTCATAGCAGGAATCTAGAAAACTTAAATAAGGGACCAGGAAAATGAATAACTATAAGAAAGTGAAAATCAAAATCAACAAAAAACTATGAACCAGAGACACTCTATGGGGGGTGGGGGGCGGGGAGGGGAGGGATTGGGGTCAAAATAAGGGGGCTGCAATTGTATGGGGAATATAAAAATAAAATTTATTTAAAAAAAAAAAAGAAAGATGCTGCCTTCTCCCTTCCTTTCTCAGTGCACACTTACTCCCAGTGTGGCAGGGCGATGGAACTTCTCAAGTAATGTAAGGTCACTGTCCCATCAGGGAAGGAACTACTTCTTGCCCAGCCTTCTTAGGACTTGCTGAATAACCTTGAACAAGTCATGTTACCACTGGATCTTCATTTATTGATAACTAATATGAATATTACAAATAAATAGTAATATTTAAGAAGGGAGAAGGAAAGGTATGGGAAAAGCAGTTTCTAAAAGGAACGTACAAGAAAATTTTAATTAAACACTAAGAAAGGCATTAGGTTTGTGAAGCCTGTAGTTCCCTTACAGTTCTAAAAGTTTGTTACTAAACTTTTTTCTAGACTCCTATAACCTTCTACCTGAACGTAAGGTTGCATACTCTACTTATGTCAACTCACCCTGTTCAGGACCCAGATTTACTAAGGAAAAGCAAATATACTAAGTGAAATGAGTCAAGTGGAGAAAAACAAATACTGTATGATTTCACTCACATGGAAGATAAAGAAACAAAGCAAACAATTAAAACAAAAATAAGCCCTGAGTCTGAAAACAGAATGGTGGTTAGCAGTGAAGTAAGGGAGGATGCAGGATAAGTAAACTGTAAAGGGGGCAATTAGATGGAAACTAGATCTTCAGTGCTGAACATAATGTAGTTTATAACATGTCAAAATACAAAGCTATACATCTGAGACTTAGAGACAGAAACAAAAGAACAAACAAAACAATCTCTTAAATTATGAGAACAAATGGTGGTCACCAGAGGGGAGAGGATGGGGGGGGTGGGGGGGGCGGGCAAATCCAGTAAAGGGAATCAATAGTATGGTGATAGATGGAAACTCGATTTTGGGTGGGGATCAATTATAATGCTGTACAACTGAAACCTATATGTTATAAACCAATGTTACTTCAATAAATTATTTTAAATAAAAGAAAATTGTTGTTATATTCTGTGAAAAAGAATAAGGAAAAGCATGATTTTTTTTCTATGTCATTTCTTTTGTTCCAAAGCATTCCATGGTTACCAACGGTGAATAAGATATAATCCAAGGCCTTCCTGGTGGCACAAGGGGTTAAGCACAGCACTATGAAGCAATCTGCAGCCTCTGCAGCATGAGTTTGATCCCCGGCGGGCTAGGGAGCTGACCCACATGGCACAGCAGACCTCGCCTGACTCGCCCGCTGCTCCTCTCAGCAGTGTATTTCAGTCAGTCTTCCTGTTCTATTCCCCACTCTGTCTCTGGTGAATCCTCTCATCCCCTGGCCTGTACCCTGGTCTGTACTTCTGGCCTGTACCCCAGCTCTTGTATGCATAAATAAATAAATCTTTAAAAAAAAAAAGACATAATCAAAGTATTCAGTCTGGCATTCAAGGACCTCCTCAACCTGGTCTCAGTCCATTTTTCCCACAACCCTCTGTCTCCCTGAAAAGGACTGGCATTACCTGTTATCATTTTTCCCCCATTCCATTTCAACAATCATGCACTGAGCTTGTATTGAGCATCTTCTATGTGCCAGACTTTGTGCTAGGTACTTCAAATTCAAAGATGAATTCCTCTTAGCCCCCGCTAGAATGACCAGCCATCCCAAGTGGCCCAAGATTATTATAAACTTAGCACTAGAAGTCCCTGGTCCCTGGAAACCCTTCAGTCCTGTGAAACATGATTGGTCACCATAACCCTGCACATGGTATTATGGCTTCTGTAGCCAGAAGCCAGCTTCCATACACAGCAGACAAGGAGAGCCAGAAGAAGACGGCAGACCACTCTATATTGGTGGGTGGCTGTTCTAGTAGCCAAAGGACTGTGGGCAACAGCACAATAAATAGTTTCCTGCACCCATCCACCAAATCTTGAGAGTTTATGGAGAAGCCTTTATGAGATTTAATCACATGCTCTGTCCCACAGTACAAAACTATCTCAAGACTGCATCCTTAGAGTAGTTTCTAGAAGTGGGAAAGGCAAGAAGAATGCATATTCCAAGGACAGGAGAAGCGAGGCGTCTCCAACAGCCCAGGTCCACAGGGTCAACAGTCCGTCATGATTTTTGTTTTTTGGGGGTTTTTTTAAAGATTTATTTATTTATACAAGCATTGGGTACAATCAGAAGCGCGGGAGGGTGAGAGAATTCACCAGAGCCAGAGCGGGGAACAGAACAGCCAGACTGACCAAATACACTGCTGAGGGAAGCAGTGGGCGGCAGGAGAGGTCTGCACACCATGTGGGACCTTGCCAGCAACCGGGGATTGAACCGGCGCTGCAGAGACTGAGGGCAGCTTCGCAGCCCAGCACTCAACTGCTGCACCACCAGGGAGGCCCTCCGTCATGTTTTCTTGAGTGTCTTCCCCAATACTTAAGTCAAACTGCCTAGATGTATATTCTTGACTTCCAATTTTCTTCCAAAGTAATTATTTTGGACTTTCCTAACAATTTTAATAGTGTCAAAGACAGGTATGTTGACCTCAAACAAAAGCAATCAATTATTCCAACAATAAGATTTTTTTTTTTTTTTTTTTCAGAAACAGACAACAGGAAAAAAATGGCAATTGGAAAGTGCAGAATTGGCTGAAGACCCTCTTGAATAACCTCTGGAGAACCTCCCTTTCACATGGAGGGAAGGGGGAAAGAGCATCACTTCCTCTGGGAGATGCAAGGAATGTTGGGTCCTGTAGTTTGCTAATCTATGCATGCATGGGCACTCTTTCTGGCCTCCCCACCTCATTTCTGAATATTAATGTTCACAATTCCAAGCAATGACTTATGTTTGCATTAATGCTTAGGTTGTAAATTCTTGGAAGGCAGTGCCATCTTTCCAGGACTCCGGTGCCTACTGGTACATTATATATAGTGACTATAAAATGAATGTATGTTGAATTGAAGAGAGGAACAAATTAGTACTTCAGGCTTCCCCCACACACACCTTAATAAAAACACTTTCAAAGTGAAACACATGGGGGCCTCCCTGGTGGAGCAGGCGGTTGAGTGCAACGCTGTGAAGCTGTCTGCAGCCTCTGCAGTGCCGGTTCAATCCCCACCGGCCCCGGAGCAACCCACATGGCACAGCAGACCTCTCCTGTCTTGCCCGCTGCTCCCCTCAGCAGTGTTATTTCGGTCATTCTGCTTGTTCTGTTCCCCTGTCTCTAGTGAACCCTCTCACCTTCCCGCACATCTGGCCTGTACCCCAGTTCTTGTATATATAAAATAAATCTTAAAATTAAAAAAAAAAGTGAAACACATGGAAAAGTGTTTGGTTGAATGATTGTTTTAACAAACCTAACAGCCCCTAGATCAAGTCAGAGAACATACCCCAGACGTCCTGGCATCCCTTCCCAATCACAAGCCCGACTCCCAAACTAGATTTATGCTTATGTAAAGATAAGTTTGCCTGTTGTTGGCCTTTATGTAAATGGAATCACTGGATCTGTTCTCTTTTACACGTGGAGCCTTTCACTCAACTTTGTGATTCAGCCATACATTTACAGGTTGCTCTAGCACATTCACAATCTTTCATATTGTGTCAATATTGTGTGACTATACCACAATATATTTGTCCATTTTTTTAAATATTTCATTTTATATAATTCTTATATCATTTTTCATTTTTGCACAATATATGCATTTTCATTTTGGTTATATTCCCCATACAATTGCACCCCCCCCCTTATTTTGACCTTAATCCTTCCTCTCCCCGCCTCTCCCCCCCATAGTGTCTCTGGTTTATAGTTGCTTGTTGATTTTGATTTTTACTTTGTATTAATTAGTCTTTTTCCTGGTCCCATATTTAGGTTTTCTAAATTCCTGCTATGAGTGAGACAATCCAGTATTTCTCTTTTTCTTTCTGACTTATTTTGCTGAGGATGATCCTTTCTAGCTCCATCCATGTTGCTGCAAACTGCATGTGTTTATCATTTTTGATTGCTGTCCATTCTTCTTTTAATGGATATTTGGAATTATTTCCAGTTTGGAGTCATTTCTGAATATTGTAAAGAGGAATAGTCTATTACATTTTTGATAAACACGTATATGCATTTTTATCAAGCATACACCTAGCATTGGAGCTGGGTCACAGGGTAGGTGTATGCTCTGTTTTAATAAATATTGCTAAACAAGTGTGTTTCAGTCAGTCTGCCTGTTCTGTGCCCCACTCTGTCTCTGGTGAATCCTCTCACCCTCCCTCCGCCCCCCGCATCTCTGGCCTGTACCCCAGCTCTTGTATGCATAAATAAATAAATCTTTAAAAATAAATAAATATTGCTAAACAGTTTACCAAAGTAATTGCACTAACTTACCTATTTATACCTCCATTAATGGTGAATGAGGGGGCCTACCTGGTAGCCCAAGGGGTTAAGTCCTACACTATGAAGCAATCCACAGCTTCTGCAGCACAAGTTCCATCCTCAGGCCCGCCAGGGAGAAACCCACATGGCGAGGCAGACCTCTCCTGTCTCACCCACTGCTCCCCTCAGCAGTGTATTTCCCTCATTCTGCCTGTTCTGTTCCCAGCTCTGTGTCTGGAGGATCCTCTCACCCCCAGCATCTCTAGCTTGTACCCCAGCTCTTGTATGCATAAATAAATAAATCTTTTTAAAAAATGGAGTATGAGGGTTCTGAACACTCCACATCTTGGCCTGGGCTTGTTTTCTTTCCTTTGAACCATTCTGCACAGTGAAAACTGTGTGGTTTTAATTTGAAGCTCAAATGACCAATTCAGTTGCACACCTTCCATGTACTTAATTGTTCACTGGGATATTCTCTTTCGAGAAGGGCCATGTAGACCTTTTAGAAAACCCTTGTCACTGCCTACCCACTGTGCCTGGTTGTCATAGGAAGCCTCCAAGTAATCCCAAGTTAGATGGGGGGAAGGAGAGGTGAAGGAAGAACAATCTCTCCCAAACACCTCTGAGTTCCATCTCTTGCCCACCTTTCCTAGACAGCACCAACGAGGCGGTAGCGAGCCCACCTTTATCACTCCTTACCCCCAAACTCTGAAGTCCTTTCCAGGACGTGGAGGTAAAAACGAAGGGTTTTTCAGCAAAACGAACTACTGGGTCCGGAGGAACTTCCCAGAAATTGTCTTTGGCCTTCTCAGCTCCCCTCTGGCCCGCCCCGCGGGGATATCTGGGGGCACCATCGCGGGGGTAAGGTCGCGGTGAGGGGGACGGGTATCTCTTAAAGCAGAAATGTCAACACCCTCTTAACGGCGGCGTTCTCGATCGTGGGCCCCAGAACGGTTTCCCGGTAAAGGGTCCCCAGCCCTGGGGCGGAAGCGGCCTGCGGGGGCGCCGGGAGGGACGCGGGGCGGCGGCCCCACCGGTCGGTTGGGCGCAGGTGAGGGTCGGGCGGGCCCCGGGGCGGGCCTGCGCGCGGGACCCCTGCTCGGACAGCGGGGTGGGGGCCCGGCGTCCGGCTGGCGATGGGAACCGGATAAACCGAGTCACGTTTTCCTCCCACCTCAACGGATTATTCAAAAAAGAATCCTGGCCTCCGGTCGCAGCGCGGGGGCCCTAACGGCTGCGCCGCGGGGCCGACGGCAGCGCGGTGGCGCCATCGCTGTCACCCCCGAGCGCGCCGGCCCGGGACGGGCGTGGGCGGCTCCGGCGATGGGCGGTTGAACCGAGCCGCACGGCCAACCGCAGCGCCGGCTCCCGGCTCCGGGCGGTGGGTGCGCCGCGCTGTCCCTGCGGCCGCCAGGTGGGAGGACCAGCGTCCGCTGGGCTGGGCAAAGGTGGCTGGGTGGGTAACTTGGGGTGGGCTGGCCCGCGGGAGAATGGACCTGGGGCGCTGGAGAAACCCGCCCCCCCTCCTCAGGCACCTCGAAGTTTTGGAGATCTTTATTTCCTGAGCGCCTTTTAGGTCCTGAGCTCTGCTCGAGGTGCTGGGGCACCCAGTGTGGACCAAGGCCCTGCCCTCCTGGAGTTTATAGTCCAGGGAAGGGGCTGAGCACCTCTTAGGTCCTGAGCTCTGCTCTGTGTGTTGGGGCACCCAATGTGGACCAAGGCCCTGCCCTCCTGGAGTTTATAGTCTAGGCAAGAAAATGCATTGATGTGTAATGAAACGCCAGACAATGATGCATGTTAGGAAGACAATATATAGTAGGGAATGGGGAGGGGGTTGCTATATTAGATTGGAGGGCCTGGATGGGTCTGAGAAGGTCTCTCTGAGAAAGTCTTTTGACCTGACACCTACAGGAGGCATGGGAGCCATGGAATGATCCCGACAGAGGGAACTGGACTAACTGAGAGGGACCTGTGTTGGCTTTGAAAGATGCCTACCATCTTTCAAGGTTTAAGTGCTATGCAGATGAGATTAGTTTTGTAGCTTTCTGAAAGTGAAAGTTAGAATTTCTTAGAAAATGAAAGATCATTTGTTTATTCATTCATTCATTCATTCATTCATTCATTCAGTGCTGAATTCAGTGCTTGATTCTAGAAGTGCGAAAGGAGAGTAAGGCAAGTGCCCATAAGGCAAAATACTGTCATTAATTTCATCCCAGTTTAATGTATTGACAAAATTTACAATTTCCATTGGTTTTCAAGAGTTCATCTGAATTAATTTTACAAATAATGATGCAGCACCGAACTATTAATGAAAAGTGTATTTATTAGTATTGAAATAATTATGGGATTTTGTTTTGTTTTCCCAAATACATATAATCTAAAAGAACAAGGCCACTCAGACTTGATAACTGTTATGCAGATCATGCTTTCCCATCTTGCTGCAGCTCACTTAGGTGATGCTACAGTGAGGTGGCACATTTCAAATGTGATCAATTTTATATTGCAAAGTAAGTCACATTAAATTACAGAGGTTTTTTTTTTAAATATTTAAGACTTTCTTTTTTTCTTTTTTAACAATTTATTTATTTATTTATACAAGCACTGGGTACAGTCAGACGCGCGGGAGGGTGAGAGAATTCACCAGAGCCAGAGCAGGGAGCAGAACAGGCAGACTGACGAAGTACACTGCTGAGGGGAGCAGCAGGCGGCAGGGGAGGTCTGCGCGCCATGTGGGACCCTTGCCCGGTGGCTGAGGATTGAACTGGAGCTGCAGAGGCTGCAGGCAGCTTCTCAACCCAGCGCTCAACGCTGCGCCACAGGGGAGGCCCTAAATCACAGACTTTTACTGCCAACAAGATCACCTAATCTAATCCGTGCTCATTTGGTCATGGGGAAATGGTGTTACTTGGTGACTGAGCAAGGACTCAAAATATAAAGTTCTGTTTTCACCATATTCAGTACTTTCCCTTTTCTCTCCCCACAGCCCTTGGTTTTATGAAATTCTTTCCATTGGTTACAGAGCAAGTGGAAGGAGTTTCGTTGAAGTTCCCAGAATTGAGTTAATCTAAGACATCATTAGGATTATGTGAGATTTCACTTTCTTCACAAGTACTTACTAGTGTGTGCCCATTGACTAAGGTATAATGTCTCAGCCTCTTCTCTCTAAGAAGTCAAGTAGCTAGAGTGAAAAAATAACCAGCCAATTACAATTTACAGGAAGCAGTACCTTGAAGAGGAATTGGAGGGAGATTCTTAGTATAGCAGAGAGATGGAGCGTGACGAACCTGGTGTGAGTATTAAGAATTTATGTCAGTGTGCTATCAAATTGTTTTGTCATGGTTATGTTAATAATCACAGTATCATGTTGAATCTTGTATCTGGATAACAACGTGTGATCCACATAAATGGTGGTGGGAGATGTGATTGTGGCCAGTAGACCTGGTATGCCCCACTTTCTTCCTGTTCAGAATTAACTAGTATTTGGCATTTGTGGCATCTTGTGCTTTCATAGTATTAAGAATAATAGGAATGATAAGATAAAACATCCAGGTTCAGCATTGTCATTGCAAACAAGCCTCTGGAAAAGTCATAAACAACTGGTCTTGAGACTTCTTGTGGTCATGGCTGTGTGGGTGTGAAGAGCGATGTAGAAGGTGCACGATAATAATGATCTTGTAAACTCTAGAGTGTCACTGAGGCCAACTGTTTGTAAAGCGTCGAGAAGGAGATCCACAAAATTGTGCTAATATGTGAACCTTTGGAATGACAGGCAGATTGGGTGGTTAAATCACGTATAGACTGATGTCAGGGGTTTACCAGACAAGTATTTATCACACCTAAAAACACTTGAAATAACCTTGTTCATTAAGCATTCATCCGTATCTTGAAGAGTTGGTATCTCAAACTGCCAGATTTTTTTCCTGAACTTTTGAATGGTGGTACTAAGGGAAGTAGAACTTGGGGACGAGTAGAGGGTACACCTGCTCTTCCATGGCATCTCTTGTAGAGTCAACACATTTCTTGAAAGGATACACTTACATAGCACTTGTTAAGGCTGTTTTGGAAAAATGTTAATAGAGGAAAACTGTAAGAGCAAGATATAAGACACAGAAATCAGAGTGATGCTGTCTAAAAAATATATCCACTCCTCTACAGATCAGGAGCAAAGCTACTGTGCCCCCTGCTGTCCCATCTTCTCACCAAGCTTCTGCTGTTGCATATTTACTTATTTAATTTAATAATTAGATTTGACTACGTAAATGTTACTTGTTTTCCATCTGAAAAATCGTAGGACAGCCTGCCTCCAATATTTTGGGCTTCCTATTTATGCCAGCTTTGTCACTGTTTTTTTTTAAAGAATTATTTATTTATGCATACAAGAACTGGAGTGTAGACCAGAGGTGCGGGTCAGGGGCAGGGGAAGGTGGTGAGAGGATTCACCAGAGAGAGTAGGGAGCAGAACAGGCAGATCTACTGAAATACACTGCTGAGAGAAGCAGCAGGCAAGACAGGAGAAGTCTGCTGAACCATGTGGGTCAGCTCCCTGGCTGGCCAGGGATTGAATTCGTACTGCAGTGGCTAGTGATAACAATGTCTCTTTAACCCCAGTGCCACTAGGGAGGCCCCTGCTTTGTCATTATTAAGATATCACATATTGTCAATTTAAAAGAATTACGTGCCAGGGAAACATTTCAGTAATACAGAAATTAAAGGACAAAGTGCTCTGAATTTTGGTGGAAATTAAAAATAAGTAAAGGCTTAAGATTTTTTTGCTGTCATTATTGGCATTAAAAAGTGATCTTAGGGCCTCCCTGGTGGCGCAGCGGTTGAGCACTGGGTTGCGAAGCTGCCCGCGGCCTCTGTGGCGCCGGTTTGATCCCCGGCTGCTCCCCGGCCACCAGAGGAGACCTCTCCTGCCGCCCGCTGCTCCCCTCAGCAGTGTACTTCGGTCCTTCTGCCTGCTCTGCTCCCTGCTCTGGCTCTGGTGAATTCTCTCACCCTCCCGCGCTTCTGACTGTACCAGTGCATGTATAAACAAAACAAATAAATAAACAAATAAATAAATAAAAACATGCCTCTAAAAAAAAAAAAAGTGATCTTACTTTTGTCAAGACCTTTTTGACATAGCCAGATACAACTGACAATGAAAATTTGACCTATTTCATAGCTATCAATCAGATGGTATAATTTGCTCTTTGGATGACATCTATCTTTGCTGATTATTGTGACAAATTAGGTAATATATTATATAAGAACTTGGCAACATTTGGCATCTAAGAGATGTTAAATAATTGGGAATTTAATATTTTTTAAAGATTTATTTATTTATGCATACAAGAACTGCGGTACAGGCCAGAGGTGTGGGGCATGAGAGGTTTCACCAGAGACAAAGCAGGGAACAGAACAGGCAGACTGACTGAAATACACTGCTGAGGGGAGCAGCGGGAGAGACAGGAGAGGTCCGCTGCACCATGTGGGTCAGTTCCCTGGCTGGCCAGGGATCAAACTGGTGCTGCAGAGGCTGTGGATAGCTTCACAGTGCTATGCTTAACACTTTGTGCCACAGGAGGCCCCAGGAATTTAATATTTCTATATATTAACTTACGAGGTAGATATTATTATCTAACATCAAGGTTTAAGACCTTGAGATAAGTTTCCAAGGTCACAACCTAACTTGTGGGTACTAGAGCTGGCCTATGACCAGCGTCTTTATAAATCAAAATTTTCTTTCTTTTCCTTTGTTCTATATTCTTCTCCTGGTAGAGAGAGTAACAGATTCAGAATTCAAGAGAAATTGGGAAGAAGTAGTGATAGTATGAAAAATATAACCTCCATTATTATCTACCCATTGGATTTCAGTTCATGTTCAAGAGTTGATCAGAAAGCAATACAAAATTATGGGTCTCCCCAGTGGCTGGCACAGTGGGTTGAGCACAATGCTGTGAAGCGGCCAGGGAGATACCCACATGGCACAGCAGACCTCTCTTGTCTCGCCTGCTGCTCCCCTCAGCAGTGTTTTCC